GAGAGATTGTGTTGATGAAATGTATTTAATCTAGCTTTCTTCTTTTCAGTTGGTGCTGTTTAGAGCCCAGGGACCGGTGCCTGTTTTTAACTTGGCAAAGCTCCTATTCCTGCACTTCATTGTAGACACTGTAATTTTCTTTCATGTTTTGGGGTCTGACTCATCTGGTGTGAGGTAGTACTCTTGGGTGTTTGTTCCTCCTTACAGATACTCTGTTTGCTCAGCCTCATAATTATGGGTACCGTGCTTTCCCCATCCAGGGTTTTCTGTCTTTGTTGGGATCTAGTTGAGCATGTAAGCATCCTCTGTCTGGGAACTTCATTCTGTTCCTGTTGGTGTTAGTGACAGGGTTTTGAACACTGTAGTTGTAAATAGGTATTGAAATGAGCGCTTGGCCATTTTGTAAGAATAGTTCAATAAATGATTCCATTTGCATTTCCATGTGCATTTCAGAGTCCTGTTCATTTCTAAAAAATAAATTGTGGGGCCAGAGATTTAGCTCAGTCGCATAAGTGCCTGCCTGGCAAGCATGAGGTTGTGAGTTCAATTCCTGGTACCAAAATAAAATAAAATAATGTGCTAAGCTTTTGGGTGGGCCTGTATCGAATTAGGAAGATTGACATCGTAACAAGATTGAGTCTTCCAACCTATGGCCAGCATAATGTTCTTCATTGTTTATGCTTTTAATTATGCTCAGCATTGACTTTTTTTACTTTTTCATGAGAAACTTTGTACAATTTCAGAACTATTGCTACATTTAAAATTCTGTTATAAGCTGGGCATGGTGCTATACACCTATAATCCTAGCATTTGAGAGGCTGAGGCAGAAAGATCTCTCTGAGCTCAAGGCCAGCCTGGGCTACACAGTAAGTCCAGGCCAGCCTGAACTACAGAGCAAGACCTTGTCTCAAAAAAAAAATTGTAAATAAAAATTTTATAAACTTTCTTTTCCATTTGTCTGTGATAACGAGGAATAACCCTTACTTCCTCCTGACCTGCTGGCCATGGGTGCCGTGCTGTGTGCTCAGCAGCTCTGCCGAGCGGGCGCGCTCTTCTCGGACGTCCTGGCTACCAGGGCGGGTTACTGTCAGACAGGACCGTTTCCTTCCTGCTGTGATACAGTTCTGTCTCCACTCAGTGCAGACCAGTGCTGAACAGTGAGAGTCCTGACTGTTCCTGACCTTAGGGGAAAGCTTCACTGTCGCCACTGACACTTGGTGTGAGCTTTGTGTTTTTCTGGAGATGCCCTTTACCAGTTGAGAACACATTCTTTTCTGCTTCTAATTTGCTGAGCATTTGTGCAAATATTTTTCCGAATAGTCTTTCTACATGTAATTAAGATGATTGTATTTTTTTGTTTTATTCTATTAGGGCAGTGAATTACATTGAGTGATTTCCAAATGTTAGCTAATGCTAGTGTTTTTTTTATTTCTGGGATGAACCTCTCTCAGTTATATTTCCATTTTGATATATTGCTGAAGGCAGTTTGTTAATATTATGTCATGAAATTTTGTATCTGTGTTTTGAAAGACACTGGTCTGTGACACTCCTGGTGTTTTTGTCTTTTTGAGACAGGATCTTGCTATGCAGTTCAGGCTGGCCTTGAGTTCACTGTGTAGCAGAGGCTGGTCTCAAATTTGCAATGATCCTCCTGCCTCAGCCTCCTTAGTGCTAGGATTACAGGCGTGCACCACCATACCTGGTGATACTCCTGTTCTTGGGGCAGCAGGGCAATGTAGGCCCTCCTTTTTTCTGTTGTTTGGGTAACTTCTCATTCTGAAAGAGCATGTCTTATTTTTTAAATGTCTGCAGAATTTGTAATTTCCTTTTTCATATCCGACTTTGGGAATTTCTGTCTCCCTCTAGTACTTTTTCCTCTCTTTTTTGATTCACTGGAAAATTTATCCATTTTCTTAATACTTTCAAGGCCAACCTGGCAGTTAATTAATTATTCATTATTGTTCATTTTAATTTCATTGATTTCTGTTATTTCCTCTCACCTATTATTCTTCTTAAGGTGGATGTGTAGATCACTGATTTTAACTCTTCTGTTCAAATATAAACAGTTAAAGTTTCTAATTTCTGCTTTAGTTGCAGTGTATAAATTTTAGTAGAATGTTTTTCTTTTAATCTTTTCTTAGCATTATTTAATATGTTAATCCTATCGCATAAGATTTCATTTCAGACTTTTTTCTCTTAGTTGTAGAAATTTCTTTTTATTGTTTTTTGGAGTTTCTATATCTTTTTCAGGAGTCCTGATCTTTTTCCATGTTGTATCCATACTTTCCTCCAAATCTTTGAGTATATCTATTTTCATTGCTTTTGAAATTTTTGTTGCTTCTAGCATCTTTTGTTTTATCTAGGATTTAATATCTCTTTTAACGTGACTATACAGTGAAGTTACTTTTTTGAGAAGAAACTTAACTTTTTATAGCCACCGCCACAACCCAAATACGGAGCATGGGCAGTCAACCACCTCCCCTCATCACTCACTGGCACCAACCAATGGGTCTGTCCCTAGCACCAAGCCTTCTGTTCCTGGGGGTCTGGTATATGCAGTCACAGCTTTGTGGCCTTTTGAACTGGCTTCTTTCCCTCAGGATGATATTGTTCTGTCAGTATTTGTTTCCTTCCACTGCTGTATAGTGCTCCACCATACAAGCTGTGGTAGCTGTGCACTCACCACCTATGCAGTGCTGGGCATCATGATGGAGCTAGGCTTTGTATGGCTGTCTGTTGTATTTTTCTGTTTGCATTTGCCCAGGACACAGGTGGCTGTGGCAGTAGAACAGTGGACCTGGCCTTCAGGGTGCCGACAGACTGCCTGCTGGAGTGGCTGTGCCATGTGCACTCCTTCCAGCATCTGAGGAGAGGCTCAGATGTCCAGGTCCTAGCCAGCACTTGATGAAGCACCTGATGAGGCCGTCCTGACAGGTGTGGCTGTGGTCCGAACAGTGCATGTGTCCCCCAAGCATTCGGTGTTGAAGCTTAATGCCCAGGGAGAGGTATTAAGAGAATGAAAGCTTCATCTGACCCTGATGTTCAGAAGCAGGGCTCTTGGGAAGTGATTAGGGTTAAAGCCATAAGGGCAGAGCCCCATGGTTGAGTCCTAGTGGCCTGAGAAGAGGGGGAAAAGCCAGTCGGATTGGGCACAGCCTTGAAGTCTGGCACTCCGCAAGTGCATAAGACAGGTCACCAGTGCCAACCTTTGCACCTCCAGAACTGTGAGCCAGGGTAGCATAGTTGTGACGCACAGGGGCCTGCTGCGGTACAGAGTGGTCTCTAGGACAGCCTCAATGCCCTCTGCTGTGCTACCTCCACCTGCTGCTTCTGTCCACATGCCCACCCCCACAGCATAGCCAGAGGGACCCTGAGGAGATCGGTGGACCTGGCTATCAGCACTCTGAGGCTGTCCTTCAGAGGACCTCCCATCCTATCCCCACCTAGAGCCTTCGAGGCACAGTGTCTCCCACGCCTCAACCAGCTTGCGCTCTGGCCATACACATTTCTCCACCTTGCCCAGCTGGCTCCTCACCTCACCCTATTTCCCCTCTGTGTCACTGCCCTGATACGCTTTCTCTTACCACCCTTTCCGGATTGCTGCTGTAATGTCGCTCATGGCAGTATCACAGTGTGATTTGTGGATTTCTGTGTTCTTTTTTGTTTGTTTTTCATTGTACTGGGGTTTGAACTGAGACAGACAGTAGACCACTGAGCTAGACCCTTTTTGTTGTTGTTGTTGTTATTGTTTTGTTTTTGCTAGATCTTTGTTTAAAAAGATTCCTTTTTTTTCTTTTTATTTCTGCTCTTGTTTGCATTGATGTTTGGCTTCTGTTTTCAGGTTGCATTTTTCTGTCTCCTAGCCCATGAGTTGACTTTCATACACTACATATTACACTGGCACAGCTGCTCAGTCTCCACCCGTGGGCCTTCCTGGAAGTGCCATGCCTGCTGCAGGCCAATGGGACTCTCTTTTGGAGCTTCTTTAGGGAAGGACTAGAGAAACCCCTGTTTCCAGCTGCTGTTCAGGCCCCTCTGTTTCCAGGTTGAATGCTGCCCTTTCTAGTCCCTGACTCCTGTTCCCTCTAGAGTCTCAGTGCATGCTTCCTACAGTTATTCTTTGCCAGCGCTAGCCTTGTGGTGACTTGCCCTGCATCCCCTCAGCTACTCACAGGTGTGGCTACAGCCCTTCTCTGTTGTTCTGCCCCTTGAATTGTCCCACCCTACAAATTCCAGCAGCCTGACCACACCAGCTGTGGAACCCTCTGCCCCACCCTGTGCAGTACCCTCCTCTGAGGCAGCTGTGTTCCCAGGGTTGCCCTTGGCAGTGGAAGGAGTCAAGGCCAGTACCCATCTTTCTGTGGTGGTGAAAGCAGGCGCTCATTCTTTTACTCCTCCAAAAATCCATCCTTTCCTTTTTCCACTTTACTAGGCATTGGTTTTGTGTCCTTTCTAAAGTTCAGACTGCCTCCTCATTTCTGTTTCTTATTTTGAGTTCTTTAACTCTTTTAAGTCATTGTTTCTGTGATTTTCTAATTCTGATAGATTGGGCTACTGTTCCTATCTGTTTCATGCATGTGTTTTAATCATTACAGGGTGTCACCATCCTCTTTGTTCTCTCTTAGGACACTGTTCCTGTGTACAGCTAAGCAGCCAACCTCCCTGCACCTGTGTGGGGAGCCGCAGCAGGGGCCTGGGGTGGGGGACTCCTTCCTAGAGGGCTCTGCACAGAGGCGAGCAGGTGTTAAATGAATAGGTGTGCCTGCAGGCATAACTCTGTGCTCTGAGGCTGAGAGGGCCTGAGGTCACCTATACCCTCAGCACCCAAGTCCTCATTTTTAATACTCCCTACGGAGCCAACCAGGACTCCTTGAAGAAGCAGCTGATTCCTTGGCTGGGGCAGGGAGTGCTCCAGACGAACTTTGGACTTTCTGTGTGGAAGGGTCCAGATTTGGCCATGTAGCAACAGGGCTCCCCACCAGGAACCAGAGCTGGTGAATCAGATTAGCAGAGTAAAGTTATATTTAATTTCAACTCAAAGTATGACATAAATACCTGCGATTCTACACTGATACAAGTGAGTCAATCAGTTAATAAATGGAAGAAAATTCCAAATAAATCATTTAAATGCTGCACCCTCAAGTTGGTGAGAACTTGAGAACTCTCCACCCCTTGTGCATGACTGCACAGCAAGACTTTCCTCCTGAGAAGGGACAAGTCACTGTAGCTGGAAACCGGACACACCCAGACGGAGATGGGGCACGGCACCTGTGTGTTCCCTTGATGGGAGGTAGTATGGAGGCACTTGGCCTTTGGTGTTCCTCCCAAACCACAGCCCCAGTCCAACCCTGAGAGAAACACCAGTCAAAACCCAGTTCAGGGGCCGCACAGTGCACCCTTGGAACCACCCAGATGTCTAGTCATGGAGAGCAAGAAACTGTCGCAGCCAAGAGGAACCCCAGGCCCACATCTATGTTCAGTGGGGTCCAGAATGGGGTCTAGGATGGAAAAAGGACAGGAGGAAAAACCAAAGCTTTCTTCCCTGTGTGTAGATATAAGCCGGACTGGAGCCCTTGTGCATGGGTGCTTCTGGGAACATTCCTCTGCTTCTTTCCCTGCTTCTGCCCACCTTATGCCTGCTGCAGAGGACTTTGTGGGAAGGACTGAGGGAAGGGCCAGATCTCTAGATTGCAGGAAGACTGGACAGTGTTCCAAATGTACCGTGGGAGCTTCTGCCAATTCCTTGCACATGCTGTAGCTGCTGTGGGCCCAGACCCATGCATGTGGTGGGAGTGTCTCCCTCTAGGAGTTTGCTCTTGGTGCTTGGTGATCAGCTGTAAGCAGAGCAGCCATGAGGAAGTGTTTCTGATGTTTCTGTTTAGCACTGGCCTGTGGTGGCAGTGGTCCCACCTGGCAGACCTGCCCAGGGCAAGTATAGGGCCTTCTCAGTGCTCCAGGAGCCAGTCAAGCCTTTGTGCAGACACCTGGAGAAGTAACAGCCTGTGTCCACACTGCCTGTCTGTCCTGGTATGAGGGTGCTTGCTGGGAGGGACCCCAGCTTGCCTCCTGGTTTCCTGTACTGAGATGAGGCCAGGGCTGCCATCTGTCTCCTCGATGCGAAACTCAGGGCCTCTCTGGCAGGCTCTTCCCAGGTCCCTCCTCCTGGCCCTGCTCAGCAGCCCTGCTCAGCAGCTCCGCCCAGCAGCTCTGCATAGCAATTCTGCCACTCCTGAGTCTGGCCAGTTCCGGGCCCTGTTCTGTGGAGGGAGCAGCTGTTTTTCTCTGCAGTCGTCCTCATTGGCCCAGATTGAGGGCGGAGGGCACTTCCGAGCAAGGGAGCCAGGGACGGAACCGAGCAGCCGGCCTGGGCTGGCCCCTACTCACCAGCTCAGCAGTACCCCCATCATGTTTGGGGATCACTGTGGTCTCCCCACAGACAGAGCTCTGCTCGGCCAGCCCCCTAAAACTGGATTCTGCTACAAAATGGTGCTTCAGGCAGTCAGCAAAGTACTCAGGTAACATCCTAGCTGCCTCCAGGGAAAACAGCACTGGTCAGCTCTGGGCTAGATGGCTGATGCAGCCTACAGGCCTCAAAGCCCCAGGGGGTCTATGCACTGCCCAGGAGAAGCCAGAGCTGGTCTGGAACTTTGTTTGCCTACTGAGCTTCTCCTTAACCACCTGCACTTGCTGTTGTCCTAGAAGAGAGCCTTGCTCTGAACCCCAGGAGGGAACCCTGAACTCACTGAACCCCAATGGCTGGTGTGGTCTTTCTGGCTCATTGTCTTTCACTGGCATAGGGTCATACCTGGCGCTGGAGGCCCTTCACCACCAGCAGGCGGGGCTTTGATGCTCTGAGGTAGTGGTGGCCCTTATCCAGAGAGGTAATGTGGGGTGCCCCCAGATCCCCACTGCCAGCTAATCGCTATAGAGGCAGTTGCCAAAACTGCTGTTCCTGACAGTTTTCTGGCCTGTTTTTCTGATCTGCATGGTACCTCTAGCTTGGTGTATATATGTACTTGAAAACACACGTGTTGGTGCATGTCACCTAGTTGTGAGTGGGTGTGGCATGTATATATGGCGTTAGGGTATTGATGCATGTGTACATTAGCATATGAATGCTGGCATGTGAGTGGCACATATGGGTAGGTGCATGAGTTCTGGACAGGCCTTTGATGTCTGGACCCTGGACAGGGTCACTTAGCCTGTGTGTTCTGGGTGGTGGTCTTTCCCTTCAGCACAGGAATCTGCCTGTCATCTCAGGGTGTCTCACCCCCGAGTATTTGTACTTGCTTTTCCAATATTCCTTTGCAGCCCCTGCCTCACCTGGCTTTTGGTGAGGCAGTGAGTGGGACCTTGCCAGGGAGTCCTGGGGTCCCTTTCCTGTGCGCCTAGTCATCACAAGGTGCCTCTCATTCCATCTTTGTCTTCCTGGACAAACTGCCCACAGCACAACCTCCTGTGCATGTGGCTGGGTGGGCTTCAGACAAAGTCCAGGTGGAAACCAGGGAGCCAGCTGTCTGGTTCTGGCACGAAGGCATTAGATTTTGGGGACGTGTGGGTGGGCAGGTGACATCCCACTCTAATCTGGGACAGTACTGACTTCGATGGTATGCGTGTGTGCACAAATATGCGTCTGTACACCTATGGTAGGTAAAGGTGGCACCGACCTGCAGGCATTCCCTAACTCAGAGGCTGCCCACTAAGGTGGGGAGGTCTCCCTGGACAGGTGCTGTAGCTGGGCCTTAGAGATGGGGGGCTACAGGACTACCTGACTTGCATGGGCCTTTGGCTCTGAGCTGTTGTCCCTTTCCCTGCCATCTGGACATTTTCCAGCAAAGTGCATCTCCTAGTGTGTTGGGGGCTCGAGAGGCTGGTGAAAGTGTGCCTGGTCTGTGGGGCCACAGTTAGGACAACCACACCCGTACATCCCTCTCCACAGTGCCTGGGCAGCTGAGCCTGCACCATGCAGAGGTGCTGAGGGATGGGTGGGAGACGCAGTGAGGACACCATCCAGACAGGGACTACCGGTTTTAGAAATGCAGTTTAGGCTACATGGAGACTCGGGCCTCACTTCCGTTCACAGAGCTGGCAGTGGGAGACACCTCCCCAGCGTGTCCACTCTGCTGTCCTTGTTGAGTAGTGGTTGGCAGATAGGAGGAAGACTGGGAGTACTCAGCCAGGGAGCAGGGTCCTGCTGAGCCCATGTCCTGTCCTTGAAGGAGGTGCTGGCCAGTGGTGGGAAAGAGGTCGTGTGAGCCTCAGCTTGGGTTGGGGCTGAGCAGTGCCCAGCCAGCTGGCTGGGAAATGTGCAGGTCCTCTTCACTCAGGCCGGGGCTGAGGACTTGTGTGTCTGAGCATTTTGTACCACCCCTACTCCACATGTTACGCTGGCCACTCTTTTCTTGGGGTGCTGTGTTGTGAGTGGTACCTCATGGAACTACTCCCTGCCAGCCCTAGTCTTTAGTCTCTCCAGGGTCCTGCTTCTGCCTCCGCAGCCACACCACCCTGCTAAGGGCAGCTGCCCCTGCCTTGTGCCCCCTACCCAACTCAACAGATGCCACAAAGATTTGCTGTGTTTTAGCCAAGCATGGTGGCTGATGCATGTTCTCCAGCACCCAGGAGGCTGAGGCAGGAGGATCATTGCAAGTTTAAGACCAGCCTGGGCTACAAAGTGAGTTCAAGGCCACCCTAAACTGCATAGCGAGACCTTGTTTCAAAAAGAAAAAGAAAAAAAAAACAAACTATTTTTAAATTCCATTTTTAAAATCCACAAGCTTCCATTGTTCCTTGGCCACTAGGAATGTCAGGCAGGGCACCCTTGTGGTAGCAGAGATCAACTTGCATCTGATGCCATGGAGGCTGATGGACACCACCTCACAGGGTGTGGCTGACTGGAACGAGGTGTGGCTTTTGACAGGCCTTAAAGGACTGAGTAAGTTTGCCATGTGGGGCCTCTGATGGAGTTTCTGTCTGTCCATTATGGCAGTGAAGGTATCAGGACCAGCGATGAGGTGTGCAGTCAGACAAGTGTGGTGGGGGCAGGACAAGAGGGATCCTAGTAGGAACTGGTCGTCTCACACAGGTGGTGGCTACCCTACAGAGCCCAAGCTCAGTCCAGCTGGTGGGCAGGGGCTTGGGCTGGGGGCTTCCTTCATCCCAGGAAGTTGTAGCAGTGTTATGGGTGGGCTGAAGCCTGGCACTGCTGCCCTAGGCCCATTAGAGTAGTCTCTGTTCTCCCTCTGTTCCAGGTATCACAGTGAACCATGTGGGAAGCCCACGGAGTCACTGCTTGGCAGGATAGCCAGGCCACCAAGGCCATGGCCTGGGCGGGCCTCTGGGCCCAGGGTAAAAGAATCCGTTTCATAACAGGTAGTCCAAAGGTGGCCTTAAGGATGGAGGCCCTTGGCAGGTAGATTTGGACAGGTTCAACAGAGTTGATGTCCTAGCTGAGCCCCTCCAGGGACGGAAAACAGCATGGTTTGAAATCTTTTATTGTTTATCTCCATCATGTCTCCAAGTCCTTCCGGAAGTAGCATTGGGCCGAGTGTATGTGTGTGTGTGTGTGTGTGTGTGTGCACCTCAGTCGTTCCCTGTGGGACTCAGCAAGAGAAAGTTCTGAGACTAGGAGTCCACAGCATCTTAGTCTGGCACCAAGATTGTTTCGAAGTGCAGGGACCCCAGGCTGTCCCTGGTTTATGAAGTCAGAGCGAATCTGGAGGAGGGGCTCCATGTGCACCTGCCTGTTTGTTCCAAAGCGGTGCTGCCCACAGAAGGAAGCAAGACACCAGTACCCAGCCCAGGACCCCGTGGTGTCACAGAGGGAGCCAGAGTGGGAAGTCGGCCTCAGTCTGGAAAGCTCCACTTGCGGGTGCATGGCAGAACTGTTCACAGGGCAGTTCCCCTGGGCAGGCCCCGAGAGCAAGACCCAAGGGCCGGGGGGTGCCTGGTTCCTCGAGGAGGCTTTGCCTGCTGCTCACAGAGCATGAAGTGGATCAGAAGCTGGTCTGGGATCCTGGTGCGCCCTCCCCCCTCTTGCAGTCTGCCCTGCCATGCAGTATGGCCCCTCCGGAGGAAGACTGGGCTCAGCCCATGTGGCTGTCCAGGTGGGTCTGAACCCAAAATGGGGGTTCTGCCTGGTGGTGAGGGCCAAGTCCAAGACCCCAGGCAGCACCTGCCCTGTGGATGTGGGGTTTGGGCCTGTCTCACAATGCCCAGGGTTGGATTACAGGCTGGCCTGGGCTTTCCAGCAGAGTGGTACTTGAATTCTGCACACACCAAACCCAATACCGGAGCTCAGAGAAGTGCTGGGAGCAGGAAATGGACATATCCCAAGGAATCTGTAGAGCTCCTCCCGAAGACTGCTGGGCCAGGCCATTGCCACAGACCCAGAGTGTTGGCGGCCATGTATCCATGCCTGTGCTTCAGCCACAGAGGACTCCAGGTGCCTTGTCCCAGAGCTTGCTGTATGTTTGGGCACTCTGGGCTCGGGCTGGGCCCTGATCTGTCCTCTGCCTGGCACTGGCCACTCTTGGCCCAGCAGCAGAGACCAAACATACATCGCCTTTTAAGGCCAGTATCTACTGTGAGAAGCTGAAAGAGAAACATTTCCCTGGCATTGAGGGTGCATTTTTTTCCCCTCTGTCTCTTAAATAAACTATCAGCAACCTTTCAAAACACAGACAGGAAAAAAAAGAGGACATGGTCAGAGTTACAAAGACCTTTCAACCCACCCCCCTCACCCCCTGCCTGTGGCTGGTGAAGGACAGAGACATGGCCGGAGCAGGCTGCCTTTCTGGTACCTTGCAGCTTGGCTGGCCTCGGTGTTCTTGGGCCAGCAGGACCACGGGCCCAGCCTGGGCACTATCTCTCACTGTCTGACCACTCGGAAGAAGGCACGCAAGGTTTGGGCTGCCTCCATTTTAGGGTTACTAACTCCTCGACAGGGACTGAGCCCAGGGCCAAGGCTACCTCCTGCCAGCCCCTGGCTACAGCCCAGCCAGGAAAAGGCCATGGCTGCAGTGATCATGCCTCTGGCATCTTTTCCCATGGGCATTCTCTGTGCAGCCAGGCGGGTGCTCCTGGAAAGGCCTTCCGGGAGTTGGGGCCCCTCCTCATGCGGTCAGCATCTTCCCTTACTCCCTGACCTACTTTCCTGGACAGAGGCCCTGTCTCCTCAAGTGGGCACCCACACTAGGGCATGCTGAGGGCCTGCCCTGGATCTTACTGTAGGGGCAGTACTCCCTCCTTACGAGTGTCTAACAAGGGTGACTCATACTGGTCAGTGCTGGCTTACACCCGGTTTTATAAAAGTCATGATGTTTACTGCTAAGGAATTCAGGGGTTCTGGTGAGCGCAGGAGATTAAGCCACGCTGTACAAAAGGCTCACTGCTGCCCCTGGGATCCTCAGAGGCCATAAGGCTCCCCTTCCCCCAGCATCTTCATGCTCCCTTTGGGGTCCCCTGAGTCATGCCTAGTGGAGCCCAGCTTGGCCACCAAGCTCCCTATGGAGGCTTCCAGTCAGTCACCCCTCTGCTCCTGGGTGCACATGTGGCCATGAGACAGGTGGAGACATTGTGAGAACATTGTCTAGGCTGGGTAGCACTCCCAGAAGGCCCAGGCCAAGCCTCTCGCTGACAGGCTCCAAGGCTTCCTCTGCCCTGCCACTTAGAAACTCACTTAGCAGACAAGCAGCAGGCGTGAGGCCCCGACGCTAGGGGGCAGCTGACCTGGAGGAAGTGGCCACAGCACATATTGCTCAGTGACCTCAGTGCCTGACAGCTGCTCTGTTCAGGTGAAAACCAGACATGTAGTTACTTACTTGTTTATTTGTTTTTTCTTTTTGTTTAACTGCACTGGGGATTGAACCCAGCTTCACAATGAGCTACATCCCAGCCCATTTTTTAGTTTTATTATTTTTTAAAATTTTAAGACAAGGTCTTGCTCAGTTGCCCAGATTGGATTCAAATTGACAGACTTTCACCTCAGCACCCAGAGTGGCAGGGTTACAGGTATGTGTCACCAGCCCCGGCAGTGAAAACAAAACACTTTACAGATATTCATTAAGCATAGCTTGCCAAGCCACTGCATGTTAATACAACGACACGGTTTTTTGGAAAAGAACTGTTTTTCAAACAAGAGCCAAGCTTATTGAGCCTGTGGTCCTTCCTCTGGCAAAGCTGGGTTCTCACACCACCCTGCCTCACGGTATATTCAGTGGAAAGGTTGGGGTGCTGCACGGTGTCTCAGTCTCCTGTGCACCTTCTCTGGGACTCATGTGGAATATGCATAAGAGCACCCTGACCTGCCAACTGGTACTCAGAGGTCATCTGCAAGGCCTGAAGAGCTGGTGCCTGCATGGTCTCCCTGGTGACGTGGGACAGCTCAGTACTGGAGGACCTAACTGGTCCTCTGCCTCCCAGGCCAGCCTTGACCCCAGGGTATCCAGGTGGTATTTTGGGGCTTTTGTCACACTGGCAACCTTTGGGGCCAGCTGTCCTGAGGAGATGATCTGCCAGTGTGCAATGGGGTGATGCAGTGAGTTCCTGGTGTTTGGGGGAGAGGACATGCAGGCTCAAGGAGCTCTGCTCAGGGCTCAAGAAAACAGCCTTCTGAGGGAGGCTCACATTGTAGAGTTTGGGATCCTCTGCCAAGCTGAGCGATGCCCACCCTGCTGCCAGCCTGGCAGCCCTGCATTGAGAACAGTCCTGTGTTGAGGCTTATTATATCAACCAGGACAGATGAACAGTTAAGTCACATAGGTGCCAGCATGACCACCACCTGCCTACGTGGGCCCAGATTGCAGCAAGCTAGAGGCCTCATTTCCCTACAGGCTGCCCCACAGCTTCCTGCCTGGAGCAGCTTAACCCTGGCAGAGGAGCAGTTCCCTCCAGGGGCTTGGGCAGCCCCCATTCACCTGTGCCACCATGCGGTTAATCACAGCAGGGCACTCCTTGAGGCCCAGCACATGGTGACCATTCAATCCCTTCTCTCTTGGCAGGAAATCTAAAGCAAAGCCCAATGGCAAGAAGCCTGCTGGGGAAGAGAAGAAGGTGTACCTGGAGCCAGAGCATACTAAATCCAGGATCACCGACTTTGAGTTCAAGGAGCTGGTGATGCTGCCCCGGGAGATTGACCTCAATGAGTGGCTGGCCAGTAACAGTGAGTGGGCTGGTGGGGAGGACCCTAAGGCTCCCACCCCTGTCCCCATCCTGAGGACCCCAGCCTCTGCCCAGTAGCCTGATATGGAGAGAGGCAGACTTGAGTGGAAGCAGGGTGTTTCAAACCTGGCCCTTTCCTTCTCTTCCAGCAACAACATTTTTCCACCACATCAACCTGCAGTATAGCACAATCTCAGAATTTTGCACAGGAGAGACATGTCAGACGATGGCCGTGTGCAACACGTGAGTAGCGCCCTGCTCATACCGCCCTGGGAGGGGCGGGATGGTCTTTGATCAGCCTTGCTGCTAGGCTCTCTGAGGCCCAGACTGCAGGCTTACCTAGAGTCGGGCAGAGCTTGGGGCTGGGCATTTCTCTATGTATCCGCCTGTCTATCGGGTTGGCAGCCTGGTCTTCAGGCTCCCTGCTTGGGCACAGAGCTCTGAGGAGCTAGCAGGAGGCTGACAGGCATGGATGTTTCTGAAAAGGATGCCCAGGTATGGTTCCATGAGGCTGCAGGGCAACACAGGGAAGCACTCCTCTGTACCAGCTGCTTTCCAGACTTACGTGTGCTGGGAGGAATGGCATGGCTGATGCAAGCAGGCACATTTTCATAGGGGCCGAGGTGCCTTCCTGATGGCTGCCTGACAGACTTGGTGCTGGCAGCTCCCACAGGGATACTCATTTCAGCACTGGACACCCTACCTGTGTTGTGGGTAGGAGAATGCAGATGGTATGGCTTGCTCCCCATGCTGTGCTGGTGTGGCACACGCAGAGGGCCATGTCTCCCAAGGGTTAGCCTGGCGGGCTGCAGCCAAGCTTCTCTCCTTGCATCAGACACACAGGACAGGGCCAGATGCAGACACATGAACACGTATGTGCATGCACCATCCCGAAAGGGTGATGTCAGTGCCTCCTTCCTTGGGCTGTCCAGAGCAGAGCTTGGCTTTGTGTGGGGACCTCGGCTCCCAGGCCAGGAGCCTGGAAGGCCACCTCTGGAAACAAGACAGGCCCCACCTCCATCCTGTCAATACCCAGAGACAACTCAGAAAGATCAGTGCTGGAATCCAAGGGGGCGAGAGAGGATGGGACTAAGATCAGAACAGGGCAGAAGTCAGTGTGGAGCCCTGCCATGGGGACAGACATGCTCTGCAAAGCTTGCACTGGGCAGAGAAAAGGCCCTTAGCATGGTAGGGACACTGTAGCCCACAGAGCTCCACCCATCACAAGTGTTGACAAAGCAAAGGTTGCCCAAATCCACATCCATGAGAGACCATGATCTGCAATGAAGGAGAAGTGACAAAGGTAAATGAAGTGTGTCGTCTCCCCAGACCTCAGTAAGAGCCGTCAAGAGTCCTCCAGGGAGCATTCGTGGAGCAGGAGCCACAGAAACAGCAGGAGCACAGGCTCCCGTGAAGCTCAGCTGGCAGAATCAGGCAGGCCTCAGAAGGAAGAGCAAAAGCCAGGACTGGCCGGAGGGTCTACAGTGTGTGAGGGCCATGGCAGAAGGGGAGTGGCCACACAGGAATGGGGAATCGAGTGTGAAAGCCAAGTATGTGCTTTGTACCCCTTTGAGCAACCTCTGAAACTGGAGAAAGAGATACAGAATTTTAACAGGTAAATTAAAATGGAGTACTAATAAAAATTCAGGTAGTTCAAGAAAAAGCTAGAAGGAAGTACAAGAGGTGGAAAGCAGAGGGAATGAGCAAAGGCAAATAAGGGTAAATCTAAAATCCAAACAGATCAAAAGTTACAGTAAACATGCATGGTGCAGACACAATTAGAAGACAGTGTTTATGAGAATGGTTTCTTAGGAAGAAGTTTTTATGGGGCCAATTATGTGGTTTCTACAAGAAACTCACTTAGCTATACAGGCTGCTGAAACAAAATGCCTTAGACAGTGGCTTCAAAACCACAGAAGTGAGGCTGGAATTCCAGGTCCAGGAGGGGCAGTCAGGGCTGGCGTCCAGTGGAGGCCAGGCCTTCCACGAGGTGCTCTCTGGGCGTTGTCACAGGCAGATTGCTCTTCCCAGGAGCTCCACCTCGGACCCCATCTCCTTGGGATGTGAGATTTACCCTCAGTGTCTGTGGACACAGACACTCAAGTACTAGCATCACTTTAAATGCCATAAGGAAGAGACAAGCCAAGAAGACAGTTGGAAGGAGACTGAAGTGAGCGGGTTCCCACAGCCAAGGCACAAGAGGAGGCTCAAGGCAGAGAGCGTGCCTGTGCTAGAAAAGGTCTGACTCGCCAGGCAGAGCACAAAGCTGTGCAAGCCATATGTGGGGCTCTCTGGGAAAACCGAGCTGCGACCAGGCGACACTGCCACACCCCCAGGCGGAGGGGTGCAGCAGGCCATTCAGCCTCAGCAGAAGAGTACATGTTTTTGTCAAAGTCGAGAGGAGTGTTCACCAAAATAGATCACACTGTAGCTCATGGAGGAGCCCTTACCGTTTTTAAAGAACTGAAGCTACTGTGTAAGTTACCTGATTGCATGGGAGTTCAACTGGAGCTCAGTCTTGGGAAACTAGGCACTGGGAGTCAGCACAGTCCTGAGTAATTTGTTGTCAGAAAGTCTCAAGAAAAATTAGAAGCTATTTTAAAATAAACACATATGAAATTACAGTCAGAATTGTGAGTGTAACAAATTTCCCTTCTTAGAGGGAAATTTATAGATGTTTGTTTTATAAACATCTCAAATCAATGATGGTAAGTTTCCATCTTAAAAAAGAAATCAACCAAAATTGAGCAAAACAAAGGAAGTAAGTCTTAAAAGTGATTTCTGAAAACAGTAGGGAAGTCAAACCAAAATTTGCTTGTCTAAAAGTATCGATAAAATCAGTGAACCTTTAGCAAGACATAAAGATAAAAAGACCATGCAGATGACAGATATAAAGAATGAGAACATAGCTATAAACTCAGCACATGTTAAAAAGATGGTAAGGAAACATCTTCTAAAGCCCTCTATGCATATAAATTACATAGCTTATTCCAGTGGGCCAATAATAGTTTGGAAAACAAAAGTTCAAGTTTAGTGGTACCCTGGGGAGCAAAAGAAACAAAAAGCATCCAATTTAGAAAAGAAGAAATAAAACTGTTGCTATTTATACAGAACATGATTGTGAAAGTCTCAAGGACTCAAGCAATAAAAACATAAAGCCAGGTCAGCATGCCAGAAAAAATAGTTTTCATACTACTAGTGGACAGCTGGAAGCCTGAGCCAGTAAAGCAGTGCCGTTTCTGGTAGCTCTAACCAGTGAGACACTTAGGTGTAAGCTTAGCATCCACAGGGTCCGTGCCTGGAAATCCTACGGCAGTGAGGCAGGAACTCAGCAGCGTAAGTGGCAAGGGTGCAGTGGGCCAGTGGATGGGGAGACGCAGCGTACAGGAGGGTAAGTCCTGTAGGCGGAGCAGGTCTGTTGTGTTAGTGCAGTTCCCATCAGAGTCCCATCAGGGTTTTATGATTCTGGTCCAGCTGGTTCTAACTCACGTGGAAGGGCACAGTAGCTGGGAAAGCTACCAGGATTTTTGTGAGTTTTATTTTTAATTTATAAGAACCCATTAGGTGGGGCTGGGGATTTAGCTCAGCAGCATAAGCACCTGCCTTGCAAGCAGGCAATCGTGAGTTCGATCCCTGGTACCGATAAAAACGAAAAAAACAAAAACCAAGAACCCATTAGGTGATAATTTTAAAAGCAGAGTTTCCATCAGATAAAAACTTAAAATCATGATACAAATACGTATAAGAAACCTAAATCTTAAGGCAGAAGAAAACAGAGGCAGCATGTGTGCTGCAGACTGGAACATGAGAATTTTAAGAGATCCGTGTGGTACTCAGATGTATTCGTACTGTTAGGAATATCACCCATCAGGAGGAGAATTCTGAAACAAGAATGAAAGAGTCCACGAGTTTAAGGTTTGATGTAAAACCCCAGCGATTAGAACAGTGTGTACTGGGGCTGGGGATTTAGCTCAGCGGCATAAGCACCTACCGTGCAGGCAGGTGGTCATGAGTTCGATCCCTGGTCCCAATTTTAAAAAGAACAGTATGGTACTGGCCAGGGGACAGGCAGACTGAGTCTGGGGCAGGTTCTGAAGACTCACAGATGCGGCCTTGTGAGTTTTGACAAGGGTGTCAGGGAAACTCAGTAGGAAAAGGGCAGTGTTTTCAGGAAGCACCTGTGTAAGCCCCAGCCAGGCGTGCGCTGGCACCCTGTGCAGAAAATGATGTGTGGAGGCTCAGGAGAGAATCTGCACAGCCAGGCGTAAGCAGAGTTTTGTGAAACTGGAAAAGAATCAAGCGGACTTTGTAAAGATTTAGAACTTCTGGTCTGAGCAGAACACTGCTAAGAGAAAGGAGAGACAAACAGAAGAATGGAAAAACATCTTGCAGATCATAAGTGGCTCAAGGCACTGGTATCCAGCACACTTAAAATCTTCTGTACACCAGTGGTGTCCAGAAGATGGAGAGCGCTCTTGCTGCACTGTGGGACCAGAATGCTCGAAAAGAACTCTCACATGCACTAACAGCATCCAGGTTATGAACCAAAGTCTCAGGGCACCGCGGGGGCACCAAGTGTTCACACACTGCCAGGATCAGGACACCCGAGGCACCCTCAGCACACCTGTGGGAAGACCCCCCAGTTGCAGTGGGTAAAGGACTTGGAGTCGGCTCCCCCAGTGATCATCAGGATGTAAGGAAGGTGCTAGTAGCTGGGGCAGGGAGGGCAATGGTGCTGGAAGGCCCCGCCACCCCCGTGTGTATAAACCCCAGGATGCCGAGGACATGCAGCCCAGGCATCGGTGACACTACTACTCCACACGGGTCTGCAGGGCTTGCTGAGATGAAGCCCATCCTTGCTGGGACTCATGTCCCCTTCCTGGTGTCTGCCCTTAGAAATCTTTCCCACAAAGAAAGCTAGCATCCAGCCAGGAATTTAACTATGACATAAGTGCCTGCCTTACAAGTGCTCAGTCGTGAGTTCAATCCCCAGTACAAAAAAAAGAAAAGAGAAAACTAGCATCCATACAGACCCACACAAGGGTGTGTGATAGCTGCCCCTTAACCAGAGAGAAGTAGGTGTTGCTCAGTAGCACGGTGGTGAACGGGCTGTGTCTCGGGGTCAGACATCTGAGAGGGCCTGGTGATGCAGCAGCTCCCAGAGCACGTGCCACTGGGGACACTGCATGAGTCCTTCAATGGCGGGTTTTGAGGAGACACCTGGAGTGTGGGCAGCAGGCAGTGTGCCATGGGCAACCCGAACTCTTCTGTGTGCAGTGTGGCTATGATTATGGTCACGTCTATGTGATCAGCTAGTTAAAATTCTAAGCTTTCCACCCAGTGTGTCATCCTCTGATCCTGGCCTCTTAGGGCTGGCTGCCCCCTGCATGGGTGTTTAGGGAGCCAGAGGCCAGACTGCAGGTGCCCCACTGGACCCCATGGGCAGGTGCAAGTTCCAGCAGAAGTGGGTCCTCCCAAAGCACCCCAGTAAATGCCAGGCAGAGAAGCACCCATGTGACAGGAACCAAGATGGGCACAGTCCAGCTTCTCAGGGCAAGGTTCACAGCCAGCCTGGACCACAGAGTTAGAAGGAAAAGTGCAGTAGACCCCAGCCCAGGCAGAAGGAGAGTAGAGGCAGAGGGGCATGTTGGCTTCCATACACAGGCCGAGGCTGCCCGTTCTCTTCAAGCACTCTTCCAAGGGGCGCCCTGGCACAGCATTGCTGTGGGAGGTGGCTGCAGGCACCGACTGGCCTCCATCCCCACAGACAGTACTACTGGCATGACGAGAGGGGGAAGAAGGTCAAGTGCACAGCCCCCCAGTATGTCGACTTTGTCATGAGCTCTGTGCAGAAACTGGTGACCGATGAAGATGTGTTCCCCACAAAATACGGTATGTCTCAAAGCCGGAACCTCAGCCCTGCCTGAGTGGGGCTGGCAGGTGCTCATCCTGTGGGCTGGAGGGTATCTGGGTGGGATGTGAGGGGGAGCAGCTGGGTGACCCTACTGAGCACGTGGGACTGGGGCTGTGGCCTGGGGAGGGACCTGGGTCTGTGACAGGCCGCACACAGCCTCCCCAGTGGCTCTGCAGGGAGACTGTCGCAGTTGCAGTCCACCCTCCTCGGTGCCCTCAGGCCTGGGCAGTGCCAGGAGTTCCAAGCAAGCCCTGCGCTGCCAGGGAGCCCACACAGGAGCCCTGGAGACCCAGCACCAGCCTGGCACTGTGGACCCTGCTGGGCCAGACTGTAGGAGACCGCAGCAGCCAGGCTGGGCACCCCTTGAGTTCCCAGTGGGCACAAAGGCTGTGCACTTGGCCGTGGGCTGCGGGTTGGAGCTGGGCCCCCTAGCCTGTGACGCGCTGCCTCCCCCCAGGCCGAGAGTTTCCCAGCTCCTTCGAGGCCCTGGTGAAGAAGATCTGCAGGCACCTGTTCCATGTGCTGGGCCACATCTACTGGGCCCACTTCAAGGAGACGTTGGCTCTGGAGCTGCATGGACACTTGAACACACTGTACGCCCACTTCATCCTCTTCACCAGGGAGTTCAGCCTGCTCGACCCCAAAGAGACTGCTGTCATGGACGACCTCACTGAGGTGCTGTGCAGCAGCCCCAGCGGGGGCAGCGGCAGAGATGGGGCTGGCAGTGGGGCATCAGGTGCACAGAACCATGTGAAGGAGAGATGAGTCCCGGGCCGGACAGGTGCCCATGTGCAAAGAGACCACCGCGTGTCTGCGTGTGCGCACACACTCAGGCGCAACGGCAGTGAAGGCCAGAGCCTTGGGCCGCCCCACCATGGGCTCCATAGGCGTGCCGGGCCACAGTGTGCTTCCTGGCTTTACTGTTGGATGGATGAGTGCTGTTTGTAGCAGCAAGCCTGGGATTCATTCATTCATTCAACAAACATTTATTGGACCGACATTTGCGTTTTCTTATGTGGGGTTTTCCCTTGGGTCTTCGGTGTGGCCCCTGCCCTCCCACAGTGCCCTCCCTGGGGCCCCGTCACTTTGGGAGACACACTGCTTAGGAGGTGGGCCTCTGAGGGGTTTGACCTGCAAACCAGGTTATCAGGACCCTCCCATGGCCATGCCTGGATCCTGGCTCTTCATGGCTCTGAGTGGGGCAGAGGTGACCCATCAGGGCCCACACCTGCTGCTTGTTCCTGTCACCCCTTTCTGCTGCCTCCCAAAGCCCAGTCAGGGCCTGTAGGGCCCAGAGACTGGGCTGAAGCTGGACCAGGTTGGGCCGGGGCTCCTCGTGGAGATGCAGCAGGCGGCAGAGGCAGAGACCGCTTTAGTTCATCTGTTCAGTCGTAATAAACAGAATTCTCTCAGGTCAGAGCATTGTGTGTGTCCTCAGCTTGGCTCTTTCCTGCTGGCAGGAAAGGGTGGGGGCAGGGCGTTGCCGTGCCTGGCACCTCTTCGTGCAGACGGGCTGCAGCCTGGCTGAGCTGACTGTGTGGCCAGGAGGTCCAGAGTTTGGCATGCAGCAGATGTTGCAGGAGAAATGAGCTTGGAGCCCAAGGGGAGGACTGAGTGGGCCTGGTCACCGTGCCAGGTGTGGAGATGGGGACCACCACCCCGAGGCTGGGCCCCTTCTGCTGTCTGCCGCCCCTCCAGGGCCTGTCCTGCCAGCCTGCTCTGCGGGCCTCCACAGCAGCCTTTTGCTCTGCCTGCTACTGAGGCTCTCCAGGAAGTCCCAGGTATCCCAAGTCCATGTGGCCTGGCACTGTCTTCCTGACCCTGGGTGCACCATGGTAGCTCGGCGAACTGTAAGCTCCAGGTGACCAGCCCAATGATAGGCCTGCAGGGCCAGTCCATGGGACAGAGCCCACAGGGCAGTGTCCGAGATACAGTGTGAACCCCCACTCCAGGTGCTGCCCACCACCCAGCTCTGTCCCACTCAGACCCTTTAAGTGGAGGCCTCGGGATGCTCATTGAACCTGACCCCAGGCAGTGCTAGCTGCAGATGCTGGGGACCTGAGGGCAAGGCAGGGGCTGGCCTGGCCAGAGGGTCCTCTTTGGTCAGCCCCAGGGTAGGGGCAGGGCCCGAGCAGGGTGGGAGACACAGGCAGGCAGTTGAGCTCTGCTGCTGGCCAGGCAGGCACTGAGGTGCCTCAAGGATGCAGCTTCCTGGACGGAGCTGCTAGTTGGTGTCTGTCTGTCAGGTGATGTGGCACAGAAGTTCGTTGGAAGATGTCAGCATGCTCACTGGCCTCACAGGAGTAGCAGGGCCCTGGGCCCACAGGATGGCAGCACCTGTGCAGTCCCCCAGTAGAGTCCACCCAGGCGGAAGGGTGCAGCAGGGTGAGGGCTTGCGGGGTCCTGGGCCACGGGCCCCAGGGGACCAGTCTGCATGCCTCTGAGGGCAATAAGACACTGTCCACTGCATGGCTCTTTGTTACAGGGAAACCTCCTGGCCTGCTTCTGTTTCCCTGCCCGATGAGGAGTTCGCTGCCGGAGGCTTGGTGGGGGCACAGAGCTGCACTCTTCCTCCTAGTCGGTGGAGCAGAGCCCCGCCTCCGGCCACACCTCAACCCCTAGGGCTGCACGAAAACTGAGTCCTGGCCAGCTGACCTTGAGGTGGGGGTTAGCCTTGGGCACCCAAGTGGGCCAAAGTGCCCTTGGAGGAGCCCTTCACCGGGAAAGGGAACAGAAAGGAGATAAGTTGCGCAGCGGAAGGCACTGTGGCCAGCTTACACCTTGCTGTGGATCCCTGACTCTCAGAAATACAAGGTAACAAACAGTATCTGCCTAAGCCAGGAAGTCTGTCTGGTGAGCGCAGCGGCGCTGGGCGCTGGGAGTGAGGAACCACAAGCCGTGCTTCGGGCAGGTGCTGCACACCCCGGCAGCCAGTGGCCCTTACTGCCCCGCAGCACAGAAGCAGAAGGGTTGCGGCTGTGAGCTGACTGAAGGCTGCAAGCACACTCTGTGGGCAGGAGCTCAATGTGTCCTCAGGGTCAGGGCCGCCCTGGTGCCCGGCCCAGGCTGTGGAGCAGAGTCTGAGCGTGGAACAGGCAGGTACGAGTGAGGTGAGGCAGTGCTGTGAGTGGAGGAGTTGAGGGTGAGGCTTTGGCCAGCATCACGTACCAGGAGGGCTCCTGGAAGAGAAGGGGTGATTTTGTCACCACTGTCCCACCGGATTGCTGTGTGTCCACCGGTGCATGCTGCCGCAGATGGGCAGCTGTGGGTCTCCTAGACTGCGCTATGGAGGAGGGAGACAGGCGAGATGAAACAGGCCCCTAGCTCCTGCAGGAGGAAGCAGGCTGGTGAAGTGGCCCAGCCACGAACACTGGCCCATGAGGTACAAGTGCAGGGGCAAACCACAGAGGGTCTGGCCTGCTGCTGTGGCCAGGTGGCTCTCAACCTCTGCCCACAGGATCGTGGTGGGGACAGGCTGCCTGGGTCTGCATGCCGAGCTCCTCCCGCACCCTGCCGTTAGGGAGCTGGGGATGACGGGGGAGGGGGGTGAAACAGGCCTGCAGAGGGTGCATCAGCAAGTGAAATGATGCCCCTCACACACCTGAGGCTGGACAGGGCCGACACAGCCTTGGGTGTGGGGCTCATCGTGGCGGCAGGGCCTGGAGTAGAGTCAGGGTGGAATGGGGAGAGCCAGGGCCAGTGGCGCAGATGGAGGAGGGGCTCCTGGGTGGGGCACCCCAGAAGTGGGTGCCTTCTGGGGCCCGAGAAAACAGGCCTGCAAGTTCCTGCATCTCCATCCAGTGAGACGAAGGACATCCAAGTGTGGCTACTTACCACAGCAGCAGCAGGGAGCTGAGACATCTGAGATACGGGTCTTCCTGCAGTCTAATATGACCGGTGAAAGCACAGTGCTGCACACCTGGTCCAGGGCGGGGCCCTGCAGGGACACTGTCCCTCACCTCCGTCAGTCTGAGGCACCTCTGCCTGGATACCACTGGTTCTCCCTTTCCTGCCATCCGCTGGCTGCCTGCTGCCCTCTACCCATCATTTCACAGTGGTGGCCAGGAGCCGCCTGGAGCTGAGGGAGGGAAAACAGGGAGAGGGCAGCAAGGGGGAGGATATGCAGCCAGAGGAGCCGTCAGCGAGAGCTGGCCCTTCTGTTGAGCAGCTTGACATGGGACAAGGCCAGCTCCATGGCACCCACTCTGCAGCTGGCAGCAGGACTCACTCATCTCCCTAGGGGTTCTGCTGCTCTCATGGGAGAGAGGCAGCACTGTGTGCCCACCCTGCTGCCTACCTGCGGGCTCCCCCCACCCCAGGTGTGCCAGCACGTTAGCTGAGCGCTGGGATGTAGACTAGCAAGTGCGTGCTGCCAGGCTCCTGGGCACTCCTCAGCTTCTCCATGGACCAGGGACGGAGGCAGCCGGCTGGTGCTCAGGCTTAGTGCATTCCTGTTTCTGTCCATACTGACAAGTCTGGGACAAGCTTGCTTCAGCTTCTACCACTTGGAACCAAGTGCGTGGGATCCGCAGCAGGACCGAGGACGAGGCCCTTCCTGGTTACAGGGCCATGCCAGGTGCAGGTGAGGCACTCCAGGCCTGCTGCCCACTGGCCATTGGGGTGATGGCAGAGGGTACACTCAGAGGTGGGGTACTGGCCATGTGGAGGCCACTCATAGGAGAGCAGGTACATGACCAGAGGTCAAGAGGACTTCTGCCTGCAGCCAGAAGCTAGAACCACAGGGCCCATAATGTGCCTGGCTGGGCCCCAGCCGACATTCCCTCTTTTCCATATGAGCAGCGGAGAGCCGGGCTAGCCCCCCAGGCTGCCTCTGCACACCCAGAAGCTTCCTTTCTCCAGCCAGACTGGAGAGCTGCATGGGACTCCCTCATCTATAAGCCCGCAGATGAGTCAAAAGCTGGGTTCTCACCAGCCACTGTGTCCAAGAAGACCCTGCTCATTGCAGCAGGGAGGACGCCTGGGGTCCATGGGCAGGTCAGGGATGTTGCAAAGCCCTGCCAGCATGGAACACTGCACCAGAGACCATCTGCAGGCTGCGTACGACACCACCTTGCTCTCCAGGGCTGGCAGGATGGCAGGGCCTCCTACCAAGCCACACAAGTCAGCCGAGTGTGCCAACCCCTCAGACATGTATCTGGAGACTGCTGTCACCACTGGCCTCCAGCTCCAGGGCTGGTCCCAGTGCCTCATTAGGATTCTCCCAAGTGAGGAGGAGAGGGCTTATGCTCCAGGAGACAGGCCAGGTGCCAGGGGAGGTGGTGCAGGTATAGGATGGATAGCACTCGCCCCTCTGTGCTACTGGCCCTAGTGGCCCTTTCTCTGGCAAAGCCCTAGGGCCCTTCCTCCAGCTGGGCAGCCTGGGAAGAGGCCCTAGCATGGGCAGCTCCAACCCTGGCCACCTGGACCCCCATGCTGGACGCTGCTCTCTCCAGCTGATTGGACCCTGGCTGGACACCGTCAGGGCAGGCTGTCTTGGGGTGTCCTAGGCCCTTCCCGTGCCCACCCTGCCCACATGGAGAGCTTGTGTCAGCTGACTTTATGGAAGGAATTTATTGTTCTGGGACTGAGTAGCTCACAGCTGTCTGACAGGGTACACTGGACGGGCCCATCCACTCCGTGGCTCAGTATGAGTCCGCATATTGAAGTACAAAAGAGGAAGGCTAATGCAAGGTATTGGTTCCGTGTCCTGTGTCTCTACAAGAAGCCCTTCCCCACCTGTGCTCATGACTTTGCTGTTACAGGTGGCTGACTTTCTCTTAATTATAGAAATCGCGGCCTGCAGCAGAGTTTAATGTAACAGAAGCGTTTAAGATCTATGCACAAGGGACGGCGGGGGACACCCAAGCAGAGTGGACACTTACAGCAAAGACATGCATGGGGCCTGCCATGTGGCCGTACAGGAAGGACACGCAGCAGCTGGAGCGGGTGCGGCCAGGCAGGCAGCCCTCGTGGGCAGGCGGCTGGACCTCACTGGACAGCAGGGACACACCAGAGGCATATACCAACTCTTTCTAGCCTGATTTTTTAAACTTTTTTTTTTTTTTTTTTTTGCATTTTAATTGTGCACTACCATCCTGTGTGTGAGAGGGAACCTGCCCAGGGTCGTCCTCCCACCTCTCACTGCCAGGCACAAAACCAAGAGCACTGCGTGGTGCTGGCATGGGTGCCCTGGGACACCCCGCTGTGGACGCACCCTGAGCTGCTGCTTGTAGTGCAGACAGCAGGCCTGGGCCACACGGTTTGTGTGTGTATGTTTGTGTGTGTGTGTGTGTGTGTGTGTGTGTGTGTGTGTGTGTGTGCGCGTGCACGCGCCCACACGCGCACATGCATGTGTTCATATAAAGAACCGAGCCAGGAACTAAAACACAAACCTAGCCCTGCCCAGCGGCTCTCCCACCCCTGCACCCTTTTCCAAAAACAACCAAGAAAAAAAGTTTATAAAAATATCTTGCAGGAATTCTTTGAAGTTTACAGTAGCTTGCCAGTGCTGCACCCACAGCTGGCCCCTTTGGCCCCAGCCCCCCGACGGCTCTGTCCTCAGGACCTCCAGCTCTGGACCCACCCTGCCTGAGACAGACAAATGAACAGACAGATGGACGGCAGGAGGGTGGTCCTGCTGTCCCTTCCCTGAACAGAGAACAGAGACATAAAGGAACTCAATAAATTAAAACAGCAAATAAATAATACTGATGTCAGCCCAGCCCCTGCCTGGCCAGCCTGGTGGCTCTGCTGCCCAGGTCCGTCGCCCTCTGTCACGAGGGCCAGCAAAGCCAGGAGCGCCTGCAGCCCGATGCAGCTGTGGAGATGGATGCAGACACAGGAGGTGGCCTCAGTGAGGTGCAGAGGCGGTGAGGTGGCCACGAGGCCTCCCTGTGCAGCATGGAGGCAGGGGACGCGCCCTGCTGTGGCTTCGCCCACATGGGCCCCACCTGGTGGGTGGCAGCAGGTGGTCCCCGTGGAGAGCCTGCCCACTGGCAATCTGGGCAGCAGGGCTAGAGGAGGCATCCCTGGGGGCCAGGCCCTGCCATGCAGCTGCGCCTGCTGCTACGGGCAGGCAGAGGCAGTGACAGGAGGGAGGGCAGGTCCGCAGCAGCTGCCTTCGTCCGCCAGTGTCCGCCGGAGCACAGAGGTTGGCCTCGTGGAGGTGACATGTTAACTTTTCGGGATAATTCCTGGTATCAGAGCGGAAACAAGCGATGCTGTCAGAGACAGGCAGAGACAGAGACCATGAAAGAGTGAGAGTGCGCAGCAGCCCGGCCCGCAGGCCTGGCCGTGCTCCTCTCCTCTCCTGTCCTCTCCTGGCCTCTCCTGTCCTCTCCTGTCCTCTCCTCTCTCTCCTCTCCTCTCTTCCACTTGGGCGGGCCGGGCCAGGCTAGTGTCTAAGGCTGCTGGCTGCGGCGGCTGCCAGGGCCGAGTCCTTGCCCATGGGGAACTCGGCGTCCCCTTGAAGGCTAGTGGCCGCAGAGTCACCGAGGGGGCCGTGGGCACTCCACTTGGCGGGGGTGCTGGGGGCCTGGGCCGCCTGCCCACTCTTCTCGTCTGAAAAAAGTTGTTTAATTACGTCAAAGAAGTTACTCAATGGGCTGCCTGGGTACACAAAACAGGAGACAAAAAAGAGAAAAGAATGGGGGAGAGGAAGGGGAAGGAGAGAGAAAGAACAAACAAATGAACGGAGGGGCCTTGACGAGAGAAAGGAAAGCCCAGCAGCTGGGCCCGAGAGGGCGGAGCAGGGGCCCTGGCAGCAAGCAGGGTGGGCAGGCGGCCGCAGGGTCCCACGCCAGGGCCACCCCTCACCAGCCCCTCCCCCCAGGGCCACAGGGGCGACCCCAGCAGTGGCTGGCTGCGAGCCTGCGGCCACCACATCAGCCCCAAAAGCCTCAAGCCTGGCCCCTGACCAGCGTGGACAGCTTAGCACACAGACAGATGAACAGATGGCGGACAGGCATGGAGGGCATGGCAAGAGGTGGAGGGCGTGGCAAGGTTGGGGGCTGGGCACAAACAGCAGCGGCCAGGCCTCTGGTCCCGGAGGAAGACCGGCAGGGCTGAGGCAAGCGGCTCCTCTGGAGCCTGCGCCCCCTGGCAGGTGCGTGACAGGGGCCTGCCATCCACTCCCCACCCTGCTGCATCTGCTCCACTAGAGCCCTGTGGTCCCCTGGCCTCTCCTGACCCTGGCAGGGGTGGGGCGGTGCAGCTGGAACCTGAGCTGCCCTGATGCCCGGGGGAGGCTGCAGGGGAGCCAAGGCGAGCCAGGCAGAGGTGCTGGCAAGCGGGTGGGGTTCTTACCACATTTGGAAAGCCGCCCCGTCATCATTTCCATACAGTTAGTGGTGTCTGGAGCACAGAATGGAGAGAGGAGGGAGGGAGAGAATGAAAGGGGGCCCGTGAGGGTGGGGTGAGCAGGGGCGGGGCTTGGATGAGAGCCCAGAGCTGGGAGGGGTGGCGCAGGCTGCCACGGAAGGGTCCCCATGGCCACAGCCTTGGACCCTCCTGGACAGAGGACATCAGGTTTCGAGGCTCTGGGCCACACCCTGTGGCTCCCAGGGCCTAGCTGTGTGGCCCCTTCCTCTGTGGCACCTGGGAAAGCCGCTGCTGCCTGCCAGGTGTGCTTCGGGACCCAGGCCTCTCCTGCCCCCACCTTGGGCCTATCGGGTGGCTGTGGCCCCAGGGAGGTGCAGTGGTGACTGCTCCCTGTGGCGGGGCGCTGGGCTTGCTGCACTGGGGAGACCCACATGGGTAAGGGGGCACGGGCTGGGTCTCCAGAGGCTCAGCAGACAAGCTGCAGGCTCTGCCCTTCACAGCCCCTGCCACTCCCATCACTCTGTCTTTGGGGTCCCTGTGAGCACAGCCCTTTGTTCCTCAGCCTCTGCCCCCACACCCGTTTTAGTGGGGGCCAAAGCCCCAGGAGGCAGCAGCTGCCCTGGGCTGACCACACACCTTCTCGCACAGCGGCCATGGGGGCCCAGCTACGCTCTGCCTACCAGCAGCCCATGGGGGCCCAGCCACGCTCTCAGCCCTGGCTCAGCCCCACCACCACCACACATGACAAGGTGTACATGAGGGACACAGCCACAATGATGGAATGAGGATGAAATGAGAGGTGAGTGCACGGACCGAGGGTCCCACACAGACAGCGGCCCTGCAGGCCACAGTGCTCAGAGTGGCGGGGCGCAATTATTGGGCCCCAGACCAGGACCCCTAGTGACACCAGCAACCCCAGCGGCACCAACACTCAGCGCACCCCACTACCAGACACAGCCTGTGAGGCACCTGCCTCACCCATCACACTGCCCTACAGGGCTGAGCTCATACCACGGGTGCCCCAGCTCCTTCGGAGGCTGCTAAGCAGCCGATACACCGGGGGGTGCAGCTGCAGCTGGGGCCTCAACCATCCTGCTTCTGGAGCCCCAGCCCCTCTCTTGGGGTGCTGTGCAAAAGGCCCCGGGGGGCACGGCCTCAGGTGCTACCCCCACAGCCCACCGGGGCTGCCCCGTGTCCGGCCACCTGGTGTGGGGCCCTCTCAGGCCAGCCTGGCTCTCGCCCAAGGCCCTGCCGCAGCCCCGCCCGCCCCGGCCGAACAGCGGCCGGACACCTTACCTGCCATGTCACAGGCTACTCTCGTAGCTGGTGGCCACCTTCTGGCCCTTAAGCCCAGCACCCCAGCTCAGTCCTGGCGCTGGCGGGGGCGGTTCTACAGTGGACAAGAGGCGCCTTTCAGTGTGCTGCGGCTGCCATGCCAGGGGCCCTGCTCCCTGTTCCCTGAGGGTGAGCCCTGTCTGGCGGGGGGCGCCTGGTCCTGTACCTGCCGCCACTCGCTAGCACAGGAGCTTCGGGCCTCGCCTCACCTGACAAGTGCTGGGCTGCCGGCTGGTCGTGCGAGCTCAGCAGCTGGGCCTGGATGGTCTCCGCCACCCTCTTGAAGCGGCGACTGGGGCCTGGGGGAGACAGGGATCAGGACCCTGGCTACGGGCAGCCGTGCACCCCTACCCGGCTGGGCACTCACCTGAGAGCAGGGTGAAGGTGACGGAGTAGATGCCATTCTCCTTCTGCGCCTCGCCGCCCTCCGTGTACGTGATGTCCACCTGGAACCTGACGGGCTTTTGGAACACAGCTGGGCCACCTGTGGCCTTGTACTCGGCCCGGAAGCTGGTCTGTGAGATGACACTGTGGCTGAGGCTGGGGATCTGTGGGGCAGGTAGACGAGCATGAGCAAGGGGCTAGGGTCACTCTGCTGTGGCTCCGCCCCCTGCAGGGTGAGGACACCAGTGGGAGTGCCTGGCCCACTGGGATGGGGACCCCACTAGTCCTGAGTCCTGGCCCACACGGGAGTACCAGCACCTGCCTTGGGTGTGAGTTCAAGTTGCAAAAAACAGAAAGGTCACCTGGCACAGGGGCTCCGGCCAGACGGGCAGAGAAAAGAAGGCAGAAGCAGGCTGGCACAGGGCCGGGCTCAGGCTGCCCAGCCCAGGCAACCCCAAAGAACTAGGGGAGTGTCTGATAGGCAAGAGCACCTAGTGGGGGGCCAGGCCAGGCTGGGAGGGGACCATCTGAGAAGACCCCAGGCTCCAAGCCCAGGACAAGGCGGAGGTCTGTGAGGAGTGGGCAGGGAACCCTGGGGCCTATGCTGTCTAGGAGTGGTCTGCATGGGGTCTCTGGGGGCCTAGACCCAAGTATAGCCCACACTCACAGAGGCAGCACCAAACCTCAGCATCCAGAAGCTGCTTTGTACAAATGCATCCCACAGCCAGCCCCTGGTGCACTTGTCCTAGGCCCCTGGGCCACCAGGAGCCAAACAGGGCATGTCCAGGAGGAAAAGGGCTCACCGACAGGAAGGCGTGCACAATGTCAGCCTTGATGGAGCTCAGGGGTTTGTCTTTGATGACCACAAAGATCTGCTCCTCCTTCTCCAGGTTGATAAAGTTCCCGAACCAAGACTTCTTGGCCAGCCTGGGTGGGGCAGAGGCTGTAGTGACCACTAGGGCTCTGCCGCCGACTCTAACTTTACTCCCTGGCCCACCCACACAGCACCGCACCACCACAAACCCTCTGCACACCCATCTTCTAACACAAGACTCAGCCCCCCAACCCTAACCCCGAGCCAAAGCCTGCACCTGCCTTCCCATCCCAAATCCTGCCACACACACCCTCACTGACCCGTGCTACTGACCCTTGGCCCCTCCTGGTCATGCTGCTCCCAGTGCCTGCCCTTCATTACCCTGAGTGGCTTCCTGGCCCCGACCCTTGGTCTAGGTTCCTAAATTTTGAAGTGGCCCTCTCTGCCCCACCCCACCAGTGTCCCTAGCTTAGTAGTAGTATGCTCAGACCATACTCCTCCCACTGGCAGAGTGTCCTGAAGATTGGTGGCCAGCCCCCAAGAACAGGAGAGTTCCTCCCAGAGCACCCTCCATAGCCCAGTCCCAGCAGCTGACTATAGGACACCATGGCTCAGCAAGAGCCACCTGGCATCTGCCTGCTGCCCAGCGATCGCCAGGCCCCATTCCCCTCTGTGTGCCATCACCCACTATCCGCCTTATGCCCAGGCTGGACATGCAGGCAGGGATGCATGCCTCAGTCTCCCTGGCATGCCAAGCCTGACCTGCTTCTGAAGAGACCCCTGTGAGGCCGTCTCACTAACTGGCCTCCCTCTGCCAGCCCATGTCTTCAGTTGCCTGGACAGTTCTTCCCCAGTGCAAGTCGAGGTGCCAAGCCTGGTGGGTGCTGTACTCAGACTCAGGCCCCAAATCAATCTACCTATGCCACCTAACCTCAGTGTGTCCCAACACCCATCCTGCGGGAGGGGCCCACGTGGCCATGCAGCACCAAGCAGACGCCCAGGCCCAGCATGTGTCCCACCACAGGGGCAGTGGTAGGGACCACAGGGACCCCTTCTGGAGCTGCTCTTGGCCCCACCAACCCCCCTACATTCCCAGTGCAGCCACCATCCACCCTTGCAGCTGCTCCAGGGCATGGGGCCCAGCCCAGGCATCTGGGTGTGCTCAGCCATCTGGAAACCACAGACCAGGGTTCCGATGGCCCCGTCCTGAAGATGACAGGAGATGCAGCACCCCAGCTTCTGCTCTGAGAGTCAGCAGGATGACTTCCAAGAGGCTGTGACTGGAGGCTCATGGTTCGAGACTGTGCACATGGCTAAGAGCACACAGCAGCCCAGGTGGCCACAATGGTGCTGGGTGAATGCAGTGCTGAAGCATGGGCTGGGTGCAGCAGTGACCCTTGCTGGCCCCCACCTCATCTCCCTGAGAGAAGGGCCCAGCTTTCTGCAAAGTCACTGTCCCTCCTGCCTCGTGCCGGCCATGGCCAGGTCCGTCTCTCTGACCACCCCAAAGAAGCAGGTCTGGTGGCAGATGGACCAAGCCCTCAGTGCAAGGGCATGCAACATGCAGGTCCTTTGAGGGAGACCAGCCGCTGGAGGAAGAGAGGAAGCCGGTGGTCACCACGCAGACTGGCTGGCTACTGTTTTGGAAAGCAGTGACCCCAAGTGTGTTTCCGACAGACCCCGAACAGTGGGCAACAGTCCCAGCCACAGGGCTGGTGCACACAAGTGGCTGTCAGAGGTCCTCACTCAGAGCCAGGGACACAGCAAGGTGCCGCTCTCACTCCAAGTCCAGGCTGTCCCTGCTCTCTGCAGGTGCATAGCCATCTTCATTCCACGTTGTCACGTGCACAGCCCCGGGGACCACAATGGGGACCACCGGGAGTTCATCTCATGGACGCCTACCAAAAGCCGTGCTGGCCAGGGCTGCAGGGCTCTCCATCTCAGTTCTGTCCTCCAGGGAGACACTCAAAGCATGGCACCTGCCTCACTTGCCCACACTGTCCACACTAGGCCTCTGCCGGGGCCCTGCCCTGCCCACACAGTGCCCTGCAGGCCCCACCAGCACCATCCCCTCCTCAGCATGGCGGGCCCCTCCAGACCCATGGTGCTTGCAGTTCTTGTCGCTCTGCTCCCTGTTCTGGGTCCCCCAGAGGCACTCCCACCAGCCTTGCTGTCAGGCTCCAGGGACTGCAAGGGCCAACCGGGCCTTTGACAATGGGACCAGAGCATAATAGAGGGCTCCAGGAAAAGCACCTCAGGTTACTGTCCCCTCTCTGGGAAGGGACCCATGTCCCTCCACTGGCCCAGTGTCCCGGCACCAGGCAGCCTCATGTGGGAGTCACTTACTCTGGGGAGGACTCCGGGGTCAGGTTGGACATCTCCTCGGGTGTCGGAACTGCACACAGGAAGGATGGGGAAGGCAGTGACTTCTCTGGCCTGGGCTGGGCATCCTCAGCCCCTGCACCCATCCACCCTGGTGCTGTGGGGAACCGTCCAGGCACTGGGGCTGAGGTCATTGTGCCTTCTGGGTCTGTGGCCACCCCTCCCCTGACACACACCCCAGCAGGCTGGGGAGGGCCCATGGCTACCTCACACAGCCCAGGACACAGGGCCACCAGGAGAGCTGGCCAAGCCCACACGCCTGGACAGGAGAGGCCAGGCTGACCTCAGTGCTCTCGAATCCTGAAGCACTAGGCAGCCCACGGCTGTGGGTGCCAACCAGCCCCGCACCCCACCCTGTGCTCACCTTGCAGTTTCCGGCGGTGGAAGCGTGGCGAGCCCAGGAAGCTGTTCTTGATGGAGTTGAGCCGTGTCCGCCAGGGCACCCCTCCAACGCTGGGGCTGGACGGTGGTGTGGGGTTGGGCGTGCCAGCCGGACTCTCCTTTGGCGTGTGGACAGGCGTCCCCTTGGGGGTGGGGAGGGGACTGCCCCTCGGTGAGGGGTGAGGGGTCACCTGTATGGTGGGGACAGATTTGGTGTTCGGTTCAGTCTCAGGGTCTAGCAGGGCTGGGGGCTCTGAGGACAAGGCCAGTGGGGGGCCACGGCCAGGGCCGGGTGGCTGAGCCTGAGCACAGGCTGGGAGTGGATGGGACTTGGTGCCCTGCAGCGGCTTGTCACTCAGCTTGGCCTTGCGCGGCAAGGTCTGGGTCCTGGGGCTGGGCCGGGGCATGGCCTGCAGAGTGAGTGCGTGTCCAGGCCGCGGGGTGCTCCGACAAGCTTCGGGCTCCACAGAGGCTGCCCGGGAACAGGCCACGAGGGGCAGATCAGGGGGCGGGGGAGGCAGGACGAACTTTCTGACAGGCTACCAGAGTGGAGGTGAGCAGGAGGGGTGACCATGAGATGCCATGCGTGCCCCACCCCATGCACACACAGCATTCAGGGACCCAAGCAGGACCAGTGAAGGCAGCCAGGGCCACAGAAAAAAACATGACACACGAGAGGACAGACAACACAGAACAGAAGAACGTGCAGTTAGCCAAGCAGCCACACGAGCTGCCCTGGCCAGCATGGGCCACCAGCTCCCCCCCACACACCGCCGGGATGCAGCCACAGCTGAAACCAGCATGGGCAGTCACTCACCCGGGGGCTGCTGAGGGGGCTCGTGGAGAGGCCTGAGGAGGCACCACTGATGGACCGAGACCTGGGGGTGGCAAAGCAGAAAGGAGATCACATGGGGCCCCCAGGGCCTCTTCCCCGGGGACCTTCCGGATGCCCTGAGGCTCCTTGCTGGGGCAGCCTGCAGAGCCCAGGATGTCCCTGGATGGGCACGGTAGTGCCCAGGCTCTTCCTGCTGACCTCACCCTCCAGGCCCAGCATGCACCTGGGTCCTGGGCCTGCTGCCCACGTGGATGCCGTCAGAGGCCCAAGCCTGGCACAGGAGATGAGGGGACATGAGGCTGAGCCTCATCCTTGCCACTCCCGGAGCCATATCACCAAGTCTGGGCACAGGCACCTGCCAGGCACCACCAGCCCAGCCCTGCACGTCTGTCCACTGCCACCCAAAGACCCACCTGGGGCACCCCACGCCCCTCATACCACTGCTGCTCCCTCAGTTGGAAACCCAGCCTGGCCAGCGAGTCCCCTGCGGAGGGCACTGGGCCATGATCCCCTATACTACAAGGCTAACGACCCTCGTAAGAGTGACAGGGGCTGAGGCCACTGTAGAGAAGAGCTGACAAAGAAGATACCTCACGGCCCCGCCGGCCACACCCGCCTGCCCTGCGGCACCTGACCACACTGGCCCCCAGCACCTGTGGGTGGGGCCACGGCCACCTGCTAGGCTCCCCATCTGGCCACCAAGGGAGCCAGGAGGCAGCAGAGACTGGCTCCCAGCACAGCACCCAGCCCTGAGAGAGGTCAGGGAGGCAGGAGTCCCCCAGAGCAGCAGCCAAGAGCAAGCGAGGCCCATAGCGCCCCAGCCAGCCAGCAGCTCACCCCAGGGCACAGGGACGGCGAGGAGAAGCAGGAAGAGGAGGGAGGCCTGCACTACGACAACCTACGACCTACGGCGGGAGGCGGAACCCACTACAGCTGAGTGGGTACAGCAGCGGGAGGCAGGGTACGGGAGGTGCAGGCATGAGCTCAAGAGGGACAGGGCATGGCCGGGGGGCCAGCACCAGTGGGCAGAGGTCCTGCTGGGCACAGCCACCCTGCCTGGCTCAGCCAGTGCTGGGCCAGCTGCTCTGCTTCTACTGTAGCCAGTGTAAGCAGCCTAGCTGACCTGGCGCCCGGGTTGCTGAACCCCACTAGGCAGTCCGTCAGCAGGCACACCTGTCTCAAGTCATGGCTCTTCCAGAGTGATGGCCACACCCTGCCACCCCGACCCTCTTCCCCAGCTCCCCCTGGCCCTGGACAGTGCCATTCCCAGACAGAGGGATGGGAGCGTCCTGCACAGCCCGCCGCCAGGCCCGCTCTGCTGCCTGGCCTGCAGGGCGCGCCTCTGGGCTGAAGGGCAAGGGCGGAGGGCAGGGTGTGTACCTGTCTCCCGTGCTGAATTGGGGATGGGCTTCAGCGATATCCAGGCTTTTACTGAACATTGCTTTACTACAGCAGGAACAAAGCGAGAAAACAGAGTTACTGCCACACGCACGGAGGTCAGCTCCAGGCCTGGCTGCTGCCCGGGAAACCAGGTGGGCCTCACAAGGCTCTGGGCAGGGCGCAGCCACCTGACCCAGGCCCATGCACTGAGACAGCAGAGATGGAGATGCAAGGGCAGGGGCCAGAGGGTCCTGCCTCCCTGGGAAGCCCGCAGGGGGTGGCTTGGTCAGGTCTGGCAGGTGTCCAGCACTCACCGCCGACGCCCAGGACACCCCTATGCCAGTGGGCAGCCAGGCCAAAAGCAGAAGCAACCAGGATGTGGTGAGACTTCCAGAGACCCTCAGGATGGCATCCGCCCCACTTGGTGGCGGGAAGCTGGGGCGGAAGCCAAGGAAGCCTGCTCAGTCCACAGCATGGGAAGGGCAGGGTGAGGCACCTGGGCTACAGTGAGGGACACGCAGGACACTGTGGGCTTCAAGGACGGCATGGTCAGGAGGGGCCCTTGCTGTCCAGCCTAGTACCAGGAGCAAAGGTACAGAGGGCCAGAGCCCTAGTGCTGGAGGCCGAACCAGCCCACCCTGGAGGGTTCAGGCAGCTGGGGCAGGATAGTCTTATCTAATGGCTGCCCAGCCACCTCATGGGTCCTGCCCCGGCACCCAGCAGAAAGGGGCAGTGGGATGCCAGAGCCCGGACCACATGACTGACCGAGGAAGGCTAGGGCTACTGAGACTTCCCAGGCCCTACACAACTAAGACCCCACCTGCTGAAGAAGGCTGGGCCCCCTAGTCCTGTGTCCAGCACCAAGGATTATGAGGGCCTCGGCAGCCCTGCCTAGCCTACACCTATCCGGGCTCTGGAGCTGGAACAACTCTACATCTGCTATCACCCCTCGGCGTCCACATCCCCCCATGGCATCACAGGCCACTCATGGGGCAGGGCTTGGGGAGATAGCCAGCTGGACTGGTGGCTCCAACAGAGCCCGGGTCCAGTCAGTCCTATTCAGCCCAGCTCAGCACAGTTCAATCCAACTCAATCCTGTTCATCCCAGTTCAGTCTAGTTTAAGCCACATCAGTCAGTTTGTTCATTCCATTTCAATCAAATTCAATCCATTTAAGTCCAACTTAATCTGGCTCAGCCCAACTCAGTCTAGTTCAACCTCTATCAATTCAGTTCAATCCACTTTACTTATTTAGCTCAGCTCAGCTGGATTCTGTCCAGTTCACTCCTGCTCAGCCCAGCTCATTCCAGTTCTATTCTGTTTGGTTCAGCTCAGTTCAGTTTAACCTAGCTCAGTCCACTTCAACCCAGTTCAGCCAAGTTCAGTCCAATTGAAATCCAGGGTATCCCAGTGCAAGCTAGTTTAATCCAGTTCAATTCTGCTCAGCCAAACTCATTCCAGGTAAATCCAGGTCAGTCCACTCAGTCTAGTCCAGCTTAGCCAAGTTCAATCCAGTCTACCCAGACCAGCCCAGGTTGGCTCAGTTGGGCTCAGTCTGGCTCAGCCCAGCCCAGTCCAGCCCAGCCTTCTCAGCTGAGCCCAGAGCAGTGCCGCCAGCCCCTGCAACCCTGCAGACCACAGCACAGCTCGATCCAGCCCAGCCAGTAACCCAGGCCCAGAACTCAGGCCAGGCCAGATGTAGGAGCACGATAGGAGGCTGACACAGCCCCCCTTGGCAGCAGGAGGACAGCCTGGGCCCCCAGAGAAGGCACGCACCTCTGGCCGTGCTGCGCCATCTCAATGGCTCGCCGCGCAGGCACTGGGGAGCCACCGTCAGTCACGCTGAGCACCTCCATGGACTTGCGCTCGGGCCGACGCTTGCCATGCCGGTTCAGCATCGGGGAGTCCACACGCTTCCGGGGAGGGTCTGTGTGCAGGTGAGGGGTCAGCAGGCAGCTGGTGGGGCCCGGGGCGTGGGACAGGGTGGAGGCCACACACCTATCTCGTTCCTGGGCGGCAGGTCCTCATCCTCGTGGCTGGGATACCTTTCTTTCCGGTCCAAGAGGAGGAAGTAGATCATCTTCTCCTGGTTCTCCCTGCAGTGTCGAGGGGGCATTAGGAGGGTCGGGACGCGGTGTGCACTGCTGGCTGTAGGATCTGGCCACCAAGCGGGCTCCATACCAGGGTGGAGCTCACCCACCCACCCCTCAGCTTACTCCTCAGACAGCAGGTCCTGGAGTAGCTTGTTGCGGTCCCGGAAACAGCCCAGTGAGTGCATGCTGTCCAGCACGTCGGGATCAATGTCCTCTAGACTGGGCAGCGAACGGATCTGCACCTTGCGTGGGATGGGCTGCTCTGGCTCTGGCTCATTCTTGCCCCCTCTGTGGACAATGGCGCCATGGTACTCTCCCCAGTCTGGCCATCCCACCCACCCTGAGGCCACGGGCGGGTGGGAGCCAAGGTCCTGCATGTGCTGTCCCTAGCCCTGCCCCCGCAGGCCTGACCTGCCTCTCCAGCACCAGCTGCCCCCATTTCCTAGCTGGCCCTGCAGGTCACAGTGCAGACAAAGCAGGTGTTAGTGCACAGAGAATCTACTTACATATACCAGATGTGTTTCTGAATGTGCTCTAGCTACAAAAAAAGAGAGACAGGTGTCAGTGCAGGCTCCCACATGAGGAGGTGGGGCTAAAGCACGAGGGAGGCAGGTAGGAGCTGGATGCCCAGAGCCCCAGCTAGCACCCTGCCCACTTCCCCCGCCACAGGGGTCACAACCACAGAGGGAGAGGAGCGCGTGACAGGTGGGATCCAGGCAGTGCCAGAGTGCAAGGGGAAGGGGCAGGAACGCAGGTTCCAGAGCCGGTGCCGCCTGTTGGGGCGCCTGGCGAGGCACCAGTACCAAGGCCAGGTGGCTGGGAGTGGACTGCTGAGTACAGTGCGGGGGCTTGGGCAGCCCCACTGGGGCATCTCCCACCACCTGCTGCCTTGCCTGGACGTTAGCCTGCACCCCTGCTCACAGTGCCCCAAGGGAGACTCACCAGTGCCCCTGAACCCCACTCACAGGCATGGGCTTGCCACCTACCTTGCAGGTGCCCCTACACATGGCATGAGCACACATAGTCCTGGGCACACGCTCCTGCATGCACACATCTGTTCACACAGTACACATGCCCTGACACACACATACCTGTGCACACTCACCCTGGCACACGCACACATCTGGACACTCAGGTCCTAGCACACACTCGTAACACCTTGCTCCTATACCTTTGCATAAACACACTTGTGCATACTCTGGCACTGGACATATCTGTACACATGCACCCTGGCAAGGCTCACACCCATGCACAGTGGAACGCACAACTGTGGGCACTTCTTACATGTCTGGCACCACACCAGGCACATACACACCTTGCACACCATGCTCCCTGGCTCACGCCAGGCCCCCCACGCAACTGTGACAGAAGGGCCATGTGCACGGCAGGGCTGCCTGCAGAAGGGTGACCCTGGAGCTGGGGCTGAGAAGGGACACACCGTGAGGCGCCGGGCCGCATCCACCTCGATCATGCCGCGCAGCAGGCTCTGGCAGTCAGGCGGGATGAAGTGTGGCATGTGGAACACACCTCGCTTGACCTTTTCCAGCAGCTGCCGCAGGTTGTCGTCGTCAAAGGGCAGCGCCCCCTGTGGGCAGGCCGGTGGCATCAAGAGGGCAGGAGGAGCAGGGCAGGGCAAGGAGGGGGCCAGGAGGAAGAGGCGGGGCTGTGGGGGACTCACCACCAGCAGAGCAAACAGGATCACCCCGCAGCTCCACACGTCTGCCTTGCGGCCGTCATACTTCTCCCCCTGCAGGCAGGGACATGGCAGGTGTCCCCTGAGGCTCAGGGTGCAAACAGTCTGGGAGACCACAGGGCCCAGGCCAGGCCTTAAGAGTCCTGGGGGCAAGGGACTGGGGATTTAGCTCAGCGGCATAAGCGCCTGCCTTGCAAGCAGGAAGTCATGAGTTCGATCCCCCATACTGAGAAAAAGGAAAAAGACAAAAAAAAAAAAAAGAGTCCTGGGGGCAGCAGTCAGGCTACTTACCCGGATCACTTCCGGGCACGCGTAGTGTGGGGATCTGGGGGCAAAGACATGGGTCAGGGGACAGGAAGTCAGTACCCTCCTCTAGGCAGAGCCTCCCTACCCACCCTGGGAGGCCATGGTGGCCTTGGGCAAGCCCCACACAACCCCAGTCCCCTGGGTGCTCCTGTGGGGCATCAACGTCCCTCCCTCCAGACCTGGGAGGGGCACCAAGGCCCCTGAGCAGGCACTGGAGCTGGGCAGGGGTCATGCCAGCCCCCAGGGGAGCAGGGACTGCAGCTGCTTGTAGGCTGGAGGCAGTGTAGAAACAGTGGGGCTTCTCGGCCTACGTGGGCCCTGGTTCCAGGACATGGCTGGGGTACCCCACCCCAGGCCAGGCAAGGGGCTGAAAACAGGGTTGGGCTGGTGTGATGCCCGGGCCCTGGGGCTACTGCCAGACAGCAGCTGGGGGGAGGGGTGCCACACACCCGCAGCTGGTCTCCAGCAGGCTGTCGCCGACCTGCAGGGACGCCATGCCAAAGTCCGCAATACGGATGTTGTTCTTCTCATCCAGCAGCAGGTTCTCAGGCTTCAAGTCCCTGTGGCTGGGGAGGGTGGTGGGGCTGACTAGGATGTCCTCTCCCCTCCCCAACTTTTGACGCAGACTGCTGCCCCCCGAGTGTCCACAAAGCAGCGGACAAATGACAGCCCAGCCTGGTGACATCGTGGATAGCCAATTAGGTCCCTCTTGCCCTGGGGGGCATTCCTGCCATCTTCCTGCCCAGCCACCTGGCTCCCCTGACCCGCGGGGAGGAAGCTTGGGCCTCGGGCACCTGCAGGGCAGGGAGTGTCATGGACCAGGATGGGCTCGCACCAGATGGAGTGGCTGTGGCAGAAGTCCAGCGCTGAGATGATCTGCCGGAAGAACTTCCGGGCCTCCTTGGGCGTCAGCCGCCCCTTCTTCACCAGGTAATCGAACAGCTCCCCCCCAGATACGTGCTCCAGCACCAGGTACCTGTGGGGCAGGGGTGTCAGTGCCCTCCGGAGCAGGCTGCAGCCAGGTTCCAGCTGCAGCAACAGTGCAGCGCCAGCCACTCAGGACGAGGCCTGCTGGGACCAGACTGGCCTCCTAGGACTGACCTGCTCCCCCTGCCTGCCCCCGGGGCAGCCGAGGAGCCACGCCATCACTCCACCTGGAAAGCACCGGGGGCCTGAGTGTTGCAGCCCTGCTGTGTCCAGCACCTGCCACATTTCACAGTCTGGGGGCTGCCTGTGCTCTCTATTGGTCAACTCTGTGTGTCCCAGGGGCTGACCCTGCAACCCTCATCCCTCATCTGGGCCCTACAACAGCCTGGCACCCAGACACATTCAGAGCATTCAAGGTGGGTGGCAAGGTGGGGCCAGGGAACCCCAACACTGCTCCGTATTCCCCAAGCAGCCTCTCCTCCAGGTAAGAGACACATAGACCCTGCGTGCCCTGCCCTGTCCCCAGCCTCAGACAACCCCACAAGTGACCACTCCACCCTGCCCCGGATGCACTCTCGGAGGCCAGTTCTGGAGTCACATAGCAGTGGGTGCTGGGGCTCCCTGGGATGAGGCTGCCAGGACAGAGCTGTGTGCTCAGTTCCACTGGATAGGAGTTGGCCTGGGCTAGGGGCCTGGTGACAGCGGCCAGTGACCCCAGGAACTAAGGCCATGAGAGAGTCCTGCAGTGGGAGTGGGCTCCCACAGCGAGGTCATGTGGTCAAGGCTCTGCCCACCCCGCCCCAGGAGGCTCTGTCCCCTGTTGGCCTCAGCTGGTAAAGCTGTGATGGCCAGGGCTGTGGCCTCCCCTAGCCCTCCCCCTGGCCTTGCCCCCCAGCTCTCCAGCCCAGCAATACCTACAAATATTTTTTGTTCTCATAGACGTCATGCAGCTTCAGGACGTGCGGGTGCTCGATGAGCTTCAGGATGGCAATCTCCCGTTCCACCTGCCAGAGAGAGCGTCAGGGTGGCCCGAGGGCCATAGGCCCACGGCCCATCCCATCCGGTCCAATGCTGCCTTCCTGGGCTGGGGAGATGGGGCACTAGGGATGCTGGCTGTGTACCTGGCCCCACATGGGATGCTTACGAGTACAACCAGCAGCCCATGCTATACCTGCAGGACCCTGGGACCAAGTGCACACATGGCGAGCAGCGGACAGGAGCATGCACCCTTCCACAGGCTCCCAGGCCTGCCCGTGAGCAAAAGCCAGGGCCTCTGTGCTTGTCACCCCCACCAACCTCCCCATGCAGGGCTGGCAGTGATGGGGCCACCCCGTCCACAGTGGGCCCAAGTGCGCACCAATCACAGGCCGAGCCTCTCCCCCCACAGTGGCTGCCCACAATGTCTCCCTTCTACAGCTGCTGCGGCAGCCCTGGCCCACCCTGAAGAGCCCTGGCCTTGTTGCCCATACCTTCATCAGCACGGACTCACTGAGCTTCTCACGATTGACGATCTTAATGGCAACTTTCTGACAGGTGACGCAGTGGATGCCCAGCTTCACTAGGCCTGCAGGAGAGCAGGCCAGGCTCAGCTCCAGGACCAGCAGGGACCCTGCTGCTGCCACTCCCCACCAGGAGCACCACGCAGGGACCACACACCGCCCTGGAGTCGCAGCCCTCTTTGATCTGAGGCTCTCCCCCAGGACTCCAGAGTCCTTCTCCATCCTGTGCCTCTATGAAGCCGTCCCTCTCTGCCTGCCTAGGGACAGCAGGTCAGCAGCTCCAACAGGGGGCTGCAGCCACGGCCCTGCTTCCTGACTCAAAGGACAGGATGCTCTGTACAGCCCGCTCGCCCTCAGCACAGCGTCCCGGCTCTGAGCCCCAGGTTGAACTGCTTGACCTCCCCATGGCACCCCACATAGTCACAGCTGGGCCCACACTCGGCTGTGGCCACCATGTCCTCTCCCTGCACCAGCCTGGTACACTGTCTGAGTGGGTGGTCCTGCCTGGTGTGTCCAGGCTTCTACATGAGGGTCACTTCCCACACAGAAAGCCACCTGGGGGCTGGAGTGGGGCTGGGATGAGCCCTTTCCAGGGTAACTCTCCTGCAAGACACTGGTGGTGCACACATGCTTGGCTATCTTATCAGGCTACAAGAGCCTTTGTTTGCATGGGAAATTAATCTTTCACTTGGGACATGCATCAAAAACACCCCAGGCTGTCCTGCACGCAGCGCTCACATCTGCACCATCCTGGGTCCCTGCCTCAGCTGCAGCCTGGGGTCTGTGGGTCGATGCCTGGACCCTGTGGAGCACAGCGATGCAGACCTGGAGTGAGGCTGGCAATTGTAGCCCAGCTCTGCTTCTGCTGGAAAGCAGCTCCAAAGGGTCCCCAAGACTCCTGTTGTCTCCCCAGCCAGCACACACATAACCCAAGTCTCCAGCAACCCAAGCCTAAGGCAGCCGCCTCCCTCTGCTGCCTGTGATCAGTGCAAGGCCTGTGATTCCCTCACTGCTGGAGGGCAAAGAGCTCACAGCAGGAGCCAGGAAGACAGGGAACCAACGGCCCAGCCACCCGCAGCCCGAAGCCCGGCACCACTCACTTTACACCTCGGGCATGGCCGCCACGCTGGGTCAGGGATCGCTGAGGGTGACCTCTGTCCAGCAAAAAGACCCCCAGACAATGCTCAAAAGAGCAGGAAATAGCTATAGCTAGCCACAGGACAGCTTTGACAAACTCGCAAGACCCAATCCTGAGAGTGCAGCCAGAGGCAGGAGCAGAAGGGTGACAGAGAGAAGGCTGAGGGCACGCTGAAGACACTGTCCTCTCATGTGACTGTCAGTCCCAAGGCATGAGAGCTAACTCCATCCATGTGGCCAGAGCAAGGCCAAGGGGACAGCTTCCTACCATGCCCAGGGGCAGGTGGACACAGCCTGCACAGGCTCAGGAAGCTTCGTGGAGAGGGCCCAGGCACCACGGAGCCACCCGCAGCTCAAGGACCACAGGACGCTGGTCTCAGCACGGGCGCACCCACGGCAGAGCACAGGTACCCAGACTTCAGGCAGCTTCAATGCAAGCCAGGTGAGACACTACAGGGGCAGAGCTTCCCACCAGTCTGCTGAGGGGGCCACACCCCATGTGAAGCCCATATCTTTCCCCCAGGAGGTCCTCCATCTGGGACAGGCACAGAAAGCCGTTCCAGGGTCCTGCATCCCCCACCCCCATGAACGAGTCTCCCATGGTGCAGGAAAGGGTCCTGGCTGCATCCTGGAGCTTGGGCCACTTCCCTCTAGCCTTTTCCTCCTTTAGCCTTAGCTTGGGCCACTCTCCTCTAGCCTTTTCCATTCCCATCACTGTGTTTGAACTCAAGGCTTCAAGGCCTTGAAGGCAGGTGCCCCTCCCTGGTAAAGCTTCCTGAGTTCTCAGCCTGTGTCCTATTGTCCCACTGCATGGAGTGCCCTGGGGCTGGTGCCGGTGTTCTGCACAGTTTTGAGCCTTCCTGTCTGGCTAGGGCGTTGGACTTCAGAACTTTACTTCGAGGGGGAGATCGCCCTAATTACCCACCCTCTGATGCGCTGGGGCTCATTTTCCAATTGTGAGTTTATCGATAATTATCATCTTTACATAGACACAGCCTGGAATCAGGAAGCAAAGTATATGGTGTCACAGATAATTGCAGCCCTTGCCAGCAAGGGGCCCAGCGCCAACTGCGTGTACTCCTACTGGAGGCTTGGGCACACGGGGTGCCGCAGTATCCTCACTGCACAGAGGGCGCTGGGCTCCTTAGGCCCGTCCCAAAAGTTGCTGCACGGACCTCAGAGCCAGGGACCCCAGCCCACTGGATAGCAGCTCAGCACAGCCAGGCCCTGCCTCCCAGAGCCTCTGGGTCTCCACCATCCCCAGCATGTGGCGCTTCCTCACTGCCTTCATCAGCCACAGGGCACAGAGCTGGCCAGCCACTCTGGGTCGGGGAAAGACACCAGTGCTAGTGTGGAGGTAGGGGCCCATCTTCCACCCCTGGGAGGACAAAAGACCTCCAGTCCCACCGTAACCACCCCACAGACCCAGGCTGTGGGCCCCACCCATGGTGCCAGTCCAGGCCCTGCTTTCCCACCTGCCCCACCCACCTTGCCCTGCCAGAGAGGACTGGACTGTGAAGATGGATGGGCGGTGGCCGCTGTCCTTGGTGCTGAAGGCTCCCCCACGGAGGGCTGGACTGCCTGCTCAAGGTAGCATAGGGACCCTTGGGCCTGGTGAGTGGCCAGCAGCTTCCTTGTGGTTTTCAGGCCTGATGCCCAGTCTGGGAAGCTGACAGCTGCTGTGTCCCACAGTGCAGAGCCAGTCGGAGCACAGGGCACTTGCCACCCAGGAAGTTCCTATAGTGATGACCCCACACGCCAGAGTGCTCTGTGCCCACTATGGCCACTTTGCCTCTGGTACCTGGCAACCCTCATCCTAAGCAGCCCCTCCAAGGCCCAGCCCCCAGGAAGGTCCAGCAGTCATTGACTCACTTTCACAGAGCCCTGGCTGCCATGTGGGTGTGGAGGCAGCAGTGCTGGCTCCCTGGGGCCACGTGGGCTGCATGGGGACAGCATGACGTGGGCTATATGGAGAAATGGATCTGCAATGCGGAGCCCAGCTGCTGGCCCAGCCACCCAGGGAGGCCCAGTGAGTACAGGCTACCCCTAAGGCCAAGCTCCGACCCAAAGGACAGAGAACTCAAAGCAGCGCCAATCGGCCCAGTCACAAATGCACACGACTACAATGCCATATTCCCACCCTGGCCTTCCCAGCACCACACGAGCCAGGCCCTTGTGGGCAGCAGGCACAGCTCCCTCAAGTGGGGCCACCGCTCAGTCCTGCTGGTAAGGACAGACCTGTACCCCATCCGGCCAGGCCTGGGTCACAGCACCCACCTGAGGCGACAGTGGGGCAGACAACAGGCACACAGGCCTGAAAGCGCAGTGAGTACCCAGCCAGGGACAGCCCCTGGGCCCACAGCAGCCTCTCATCTGGCCTCAGCTGACTGAGCCACCAAGGACTGACAGCAGCTGCTTCATCCCATTGGCCAGCCCCACCCAACCAGAAGCCCTGCAGGACTCCACTAGACCAGGCGTGGGGGGCACTGCCCTCCCATGCCATACCGGCTTCCTTCCTGGCTTGCAACCTGGCATCAGCAGAGCCGGCTCCCTGTGAGGAAGATGACACAGGGCCAGCCTGGGTCCCCGGCCCTGCGCACCTGAAATGAATCCCCTCCAAGGCCCCGCCATGGGCACTGGCCACTCGTGGCCTCCTGCAGGCCTGCCGCCCCTCTGGCTGGCTGCCTTCAGCATCCCAGAGCACCAGGCTCCAACAGTGAATGCGAGCCCCTTGAAGAAGAGCAGTACTTCACTAGCAGCTGCAAGAGCTGCGCTGCTTCCCCTCTGCTCCACACAGCTGCTCCTGCACTGGACCCGGTGACCAGCATCCTCTTTCGGACTGCCCCCTTGATGCCAGACATTCAGGACAGTTGGGGCTCCACTGGGGCGGGGGCTCCATGGGGCCGGGACGGCCACCCTCCCCACACCTGCTGGAAGCCTCCCAGGTCACCAGCCAGAGGCCTCAGGGGAGGCAGACATCCCAGCTCAGAGCAGCTGCAGGCCTGAGCCAGGACCACTCCAGCCATAGCTGCCACCCCCCACCAGCCTCCCGCCTCCCGCCCCACCATAGGTGCTGGCAGGGGTGACAGGGAGGCCTGGCGTCCTGCCCCCTTTCACAGCAGGTGACGCCCCCCAACACACGCCTGTTTCCTCCAGGAGACGGGCTGGCAACCAGGCCCTCCTCCCTGCAGACCCCACTGCTCTGCCCTTCAGGAGCCCTAACCTCCCTAGGGGGCTACTCCCCTCAGCACACCCCGAAGCCCCACCTGGGGATGCCCACTTGAGGACTGTCACTGTGAGGGTCCGTGAGGGCCACTATACACCCCAGCGGAGCCGAGCCGCCCTGGGGGAAGGGGGGTTGTCTAGGAGGTGGTAGGCTACAGGGCTGAAGAGACCTTGACCTTGCCAGTCCCCAGGCCCCACGATGGCAGAGACCACCCCATCCTTCCCAGGGGGTCCCCCACCCCAGGCTGCAGCATGGTGGGTACCACAGAGGCACCACCCATCCCAACTCCAGAGAATGCAACTCCACTGTGCCCTGAGCTCCAGCTCCCAATCCCCGGCTGGCCAGGACACAGGGTCAGTCTCAGCTGGGTCTCCCCCAAGAAAAGACCCTAACTCTGCCCCAGCATTTGCAAGGGTGCCCACAGACCCACACAGCAGGGACCAGCACATGGGGAAAGCGAGTGAGGTCACAGGTATCAGCCCAGATCAGCAACAGGGCCACAGGTGCCTGTGCTCCCACAGAGAGCAGACTCACACACCTGGCCACCCAGGCAGGGTACCACCTGATGTTCAGTGAACATGCTCACCTCAGTCCCAAGAAACCTACCCTGAGTCACACCATGCAGTGAGCACCCAGGTGCCATGCCCAGCCTGATCTTGGGGGACCCTGTGCTAGAGCCAGGCCACCTGGCAGTGTGACCAG